ACGATCAGACCTACCAGGTGTAGAAGAAGCATTGAATGGGGAGCGCTCGAAATACATTTTGTTGCTCAGATAATTATGGTGATGCGATAGACTGTTCCTCGCGTAGTCGAATTTGCCGCTTCAGGCGGCTTGCAAGTCACTTACTCCTACTCTGCTGTAGAATGCCTACATCCACAACAGTCGCGAGTCAAAGTGGATTCCCAATAAAGACAACGAAGAAATTGAGGGGCTTGGCTCGAAAATTTCCGATTGGCTGCTTCTACATGGGAGCCGTCGCAACCCCGTGAATAATCCCGTAAGCAACTACGATTGATATCGCCTGTCCTCTCCCATTATCAACATCCACTACTGCACCCAGAGCAATGGCCATTGTTTGGGGCGTAGTACCCGAGTTCATGCGATCAAGCATGCTCTGCTGCCGAGAGAACACGGTTGAAGCCCGATGAGGTCTAAAAAGCGCCATCTTGACCACATCTGGTAACTACATCTCCGCCATCATTTACGACGAACTTTCGTGAGGAGAGATTATCGCAATTGGTACTTTAGTTGACTTGTAATCGCACCAGGCATGCGCCTAACCTATCCCCCCGAAAGCAATCACATGAGCGCTGAATAGGAGTAGAGATTTCAGTGAAGGTATAGGAGATGGTCAAAGAGGTACCACACCCGGATAGTTCTGGGTGGTGTTTTTACAGACATAAACCCACCTTCACAGTGAACCTGTCCGAACAGTGATATGCCAAATGTCGTTCAAAGCGCAGTGTCTGACAAATAATTGATGCTCAAGGACAGTCGACGTAGGGGACGTGTAAAATTTGGCCATTTCCTGGAAAAAGCTGCTTGCGCGCGATATGTTAGAAGACGATTTCAGCGAGAAATGGTACACGCGTCGGCTTGACTGACCTGCAGCTGCAGTGACTTCCAGGGCGAATGATCTTTGCACGCGTTGCTCCGGCTTGGATGGAGAGGCGTTCCTAGGCATCAAGTTGACCAAAATCTGTCCAAAGACACCACAACTTTTGTGACAGCGCCCTTGATGCAGCGTCGTGTATGTCCAATTGGTTCATTTTCGCTCGTCCGTTTTCGCTCGAATACGCCGAACGGCTCAGCAACGCGGAGTAGGATCAGGGACAGTATAGGTCGGTGATTCGTAGCTCGTGGGTTTTTATTTCCCTCGGCTGTGACTCGGGACCAGACCGTCTCCTTTCCCAGTTCGTAGCTGATATGGCAATGTTAATCTATGGGCTCGATATGACGGGGCCTTTGCCTCACCTTCTCCTTGCACACAGACTTGGCTAACCATCTGGCTGTCTGCGTAGGCATGGCTCACCCCCATTGGATGCCGGTAACCCAATCCACAAGGAAGCTATTCTTTCACGGTGTTCAAATGCCGAGACACACGGTTGTATAAGCCCATTGTGGCTTGGGCTTTGTATCGGGTAGACACATCAGCACATGACTGATGCACAGAGTCGACTGAGAGAAGCGCCGAGTTAGACGATCTGATCCTTACAGTGACTCATCATCGATGCCACCAGTAGTCCTGTGGAAGTGATAGACAGCATGCGATCGCATCGGTATAGGGAAGCTCGAGCAGACAGGATTGCTCGCTTCGCATTCGAGTCGAGTTACGGGAATATGAGGGGACCTCTTGTTGGATGAGCCGAGTCAGCAAGGATTGAACTACTTGGACGAGGGGTTATGACTTACCTGTTCATAGAGTTCGCAGAATGTTCGCTTGAGACAAGACAATCAATTAGCTTCGTGGCCATATCTTACCGACGAGATCACTTACGATTGTCTTCAGCAATGCAGTCACCATTCATGCCATGTTGACATGATGTTGTATCCAGTTCGTCGCACTCTCCGGCTGTCACTTCGAAGAAGCCGCGCCGGATGCACCGGGCAACTTCTGAGCCCCAAAGGCGCGCGACGAACCCACCTGTAACAAGAAATTGTACAGTCGTAATGGGATAAGACCTCGCGATGGGGACGGCGAACACCATCATGGTGTGAAGGCGGTGAGGTTGAGGCGGAAGACGCGATGGAGCACGCGTCGTAGTGCCTGCCACCTTGGTCTTCTTATCTCCGATCCGGCTATAAAAGATGTTTCACAGTGGCGATGGGCTGCTCCTATGTACAATGGCATGAAATCAGTAATGGTGTTCGTGTTTTGGAGCACAAGATTTTACACAAATAACTTATATAGCGCAGCCAAAGGCGCGATAAATCACTCACATTATCAGGAAGAATGGACGTCTCAAGCTTCCATGCAGCAAAGCTCACAATCAAATGTCCTCACCTGTTATTGGCCCGCTCCTCTGGTTTACGTTCTTCACCTAAGGTATGATGTGTGCTTTGAAGCAACGGGACCAGAAATGGTGTGTAGGCCATGGCTTTGTGCAGAACTCTAGTGGGGGTGCTGTATCCTCGGGGCCCTCTGGTGCGATGTCAATGTTCACTGTCGTTCATTAGCTTATAGATCGACGAGCTAATCCATGACTCACATGTTCTGGTGGCCAAGCCTAGGGACGAAGAACGGCAAAGAGTTGCGGTCCTTGCGCTCGTGCATTGTGGTCGTATGTCGGTTCTATTGGAATCGTATCGTCTTCAGGATCAGTATGCAAGTCAGGCTAAGATTCACATACCTGCGACGCGGATATTTGCGCTTTCTCTTGGGAATACACACAGGGTCTGTACAGTAGATCAGCTGAGTCTACTGCTGTGGCGGAGACCTCTTCGCATAGACACTTGGACCAGCCAGCCTAAGTCTTGTCTCTTTGATCGGCTGGCGTGAATGACAGTGCATCTGGTGGGGATCATATCTCTCACAGGCACTGTCTGGCTTGCTGGTCCACGATGTATTCTATAAATGTCAGTACATTAGAGATCCAGTACTCGATCAAAGGGGAGAGGACTTATCAAGTGACTCAGACACAAGCCTGCTCGACTTTGCAGAGTCAGGTGAATAAATTGTAGAGCAAATCACCGGGGGGAGAGGACATATTTATAGACTTCTCGGCTCATTCTGTTACGTACGTGCTCTGCTTGGTAGCAAGCGTTGAAGGACGCCTCTTAATTGAGACCTGTTGAAACCCATGTCTTCTTTTTACCGCGACTATTTGCAGCGACATTCTTGGTGCCATTTTAGATGCCCACCGAGAGAGACGACTAGAGTCGTGTTGAGAATTAGTGATGCTGAGTCGGTTGAAAAACGTTGGCTGACTGTCGAATTATTCACGGCCCTCTAAAGTTGAGGTATTGTGGTTCATTGGGAGATATTCAATCAGCAACACAGGCTCATGTTTCTTGTTTTGACCATCTCATCTGTGAGCGACCCAACGTTGAATCACCAAAGAGCGCTTACACTTTCATCAATTCCGACCGAATAAGAGCGATGATATGCTGGGTATCATCATCACCCGAAGCCCGGATTCCCTAAACAATTCGGTCAAAAAGTCCTGATAGTGTATGCTAGTTTCACTAAGTGGTCGGCTGGGGAGGAGAAATGGCTCACAGAATTGATACAACGCAATTTGGTACATCTATCATGTGGGTGAGTTGGCAAGAAAACCTCCGCGCTACGTCCGTGAGACGTTGACCACCACTCTCCTTCACCACCAGACCATTCCCCCACCACAAAACTCATCAACACTCATCAACACTCACATCTCTGTTTACGCCTTAATGGCAGATACCCCATTACATTGCGACGAAGGGACTCTATCGGACCTCAAAGATGATCACGACAGAAGGATTGGCAATACGACACCCAATAAAGAATACAGTTCCATTTTGTGAATCTGATACTGTCGATGGTTGAATTGGCGAAGAACTATCTAGGTTTCATTCTATCTCTCGAAAAATATAGCCATCCCAGCGGACGCTTTTATCGGACATTGATAGGTAGCTGGACTCACCACCAACGAGTTGGTCCCACCATATGATTGGAGATCCAGACGAAGAATGGGTACTGAAGTGGTGGAAGGCGAATATATTTTATTTTCGACCAATGACGAAGGCTGCTCGAGATTACCTGTCAATTATATTAGCGGAGGTAGGGATTGAACTCGACTTCAGCAATTAAGCCTCTTGTTCATGTTCATTTTATTTACTCATATTCGCAAACACTCACGAATAATATTCCTTTCGAATAGCTACTGATATCTTCCCCCAGCTATTGTCTGGAATTGAGAAACCTCTCGAGCAAGTACGGAAATCCGCGGCGTAGAGGCTTACTCGGTCAAAATTACAAGGTCTAGAAAATGTAAATTACTTGACGTGTGCTACCTTACAGTCGGAAGGAATGGAAATACTTTGACTTCGGCGATTTCGCTCTTTCCACCGCTTATTAAGTGACTGACAACCGCGCTATTTGGACAGATAAGTGTATCTCCATCGGGACAGCGTCTCTTACCCTTATTCCCCTATCCCAGCTACCAGAAATGTTGACAAGGATGCCAACGAGGAATTTGCACACGAGGGATGCAAGTCCCCGGAAGAGTCCTCCTACTCTCCATCCGCAAACTAATATTCAATAGAAAATCCCTACAAATGAGAATGGACAGGACGATCTTTCGTCTTTGAAGACTGGAATCAAATTGTCGCAACGGCATAAATCAACATGTCATTCAGCACAACAGCACGAGCAGCACTGCAGCCAGTAGGCCAATAGGCCAATACAATAGTCCTTCGTCGACAGTCTTCATTATGAGGTGAAAACTTGTCAAGGAATGCTTTCGTATTTTACGATACAATGTAGCTGGAATCAGGGGCCTGTGGCGAAGAATTAGATCAGATTTGTATGTATTTGGTGTTTTTTTTTTGGTTCTCTCTTTACCAAGAGGCGCCTTGCAAAAGCCATTCCTTAATTGCGGCCAGGAGGGTTGATATCCGCACTTTCTTCTAGCAATAGCCGCTCAACACGGGAACAATGACACCCCGATTTCTCTACCTCCCACTTATTGCGTTAAATGGCGTTGAATTTTCTCCACCGATGCTCAAGGTGACGGTTGGAATGATGGTCTCGTTGAACGAATTTTTGGATTATCCGGCGCATCTCTTGGCATCGGCTTCCGCGCCCATACTCTCCGTCTGTGTCGTCAGTCGAAGAAATGCAAAGGGAGAGACAGAAGAATTGACCACTTACCCTTGATGCCATATATGAAACCGTGGATTATTAAGCTCTTTTCGCAGCCTGGCTACATATACATAGACTTCATCTATGTCCCAGGGTTGCGGGTGGCCAAACTTGGTGAGCAACCACATACACCAACCCTCTATCCCATTAACCCAGTGCTGGAAATTAACGGTGCCTGCATCCTTCAGTTTCTGGTCTCTAGGCCACGGCCCAATGGGCCATTTGTAAAGTTTCTCATGAACATCGACAAATCCCGCGTTTCGAATTCTCCCGGCCATAGTATCGAAGGTGTCGCAGCCCCGACCGGCGCGCTCACCGCAACCCAGCATGTTAGGACCCCAGTCATTCAGGATGTTGTCCGGGGGCAGGCTGCCATCATCAGTCTCAATGATGGGACTGACCTCCAATTGCTCAATCCACCCACCCGGGCAAAGTTTCCTAGTGCCGAACTGTCAGACGCCATTTCAGATATCAATTAGCGTCATCACTCCTGCTCACTCAAAGCATTGCTGGTAGAGGCTGTCCCATTCTGTTCCATCAAATGACCCAATCATGATACGCATATGTATCAAATCAAATGACCCTTGCCATGTCCAATCCCGCTGCACGTCGTCGACCTCCAGAATGCAATTTGGGGGCATCCAGGAAACCGGTGGCGGAAAAAGATCGACCCCACGAACGGTTGCTGTGGCCCGTCAGGAGCATGAAAGGTGGAAGAATGCTTGTGGAAACTAACCGCTAGGAAACATGTCGGCAACGTCACTTAATGTAGTCAGTAGGAAGAATATCGATAAGAAGCATGACAAGATAACACACGTACATAGCCCAGGTCCCCCGGCCAGTTCCTATGTCTAGAATATGCTGGGGTGAGTCACCAATAGGAGATCGGAAGAATGGGTTTTCCCTTTCCGAATCCATGATGAGAGCAACAAGATGCCTTATGTTCATTAGCGAGGATACTGTAATGCAGATCACTGCGAGGACCAAAGACATACCCAGCTTCGTACGCTTCGAATTGTCGTTCGTCGGAAGGAAGGCTATAACGATGCGTGAGATCGCGCGATGGAACGCTTGTCCTCAACTCGCCTGCTTACATGTAGTTTTTGTTCCGGAGTGTTTGGTACCTGGAGTTTGCAATTAGTCTTCTGGTTTGGCCATTTTTGATATACCTACCGTCTGCCATTTTCCATCAAACCTCGGTAAATCGAAGATCCGATGGACGTGGTTTCCCTGGATGAAACCAAAGGTAAGCTTTATATCTGCCCTGGGAGAGTTGCTGCACGAACCACTTACGATTGCCAATCATCGGGATAATAGGTACAGTCAATAGCATACAAATCCGAATCCTTAAATAACTCCGTCAGGTTCTAATGTTGTAGAAAGAACTAGCAATACTAACTACAGCAATAGGTTGGTCGGCCATGGTCAAAGCACGATTTTCAACTACTGGTGCGGAGATAAGTATCGAGAACGTAGAAGACACAAAATTCAAATGTGGGCCGAATAACCCCAAAAAGCTGTTGTAGGGAAAAGCGGGCGAACCGGGACACAAAAGTACCAGTTTTGGGATGGCCCGAGCGTCACATTTGCCAGTCAAAAGCGGGGCAGAAGGACTCCTGCCGCCATTCAATCAATGACGAGAGTCTCCTGGATGCAGCACAATACACTCCCGGTCACGAGTTGAATGATGGATGCGAAGGATCATCTATACGAAGCAGATCTGAGAGGCCAATCGAATACGCATAAGAACTTAGCTGGCGGAACAGAAGCACATTCCCCTGGGCGACAGATATATGATTGTCAGCCGATCTAAACCCGGCTGGCTGCTGCCGCTTACGCTGTCACAACCTGGAAGAGCAAGTGTCCGAGGCTGGATGTTTTTTTTTTAATGAGCCGCGGGCCAACCAACACGGATCCGACTACAAAAGTACGTATACGGCTTACGCGCTAGAGCGCAAACTTAAAGCAGGGCCGGAGCTCGAATCCTTTGCTTTGGCCTGCGGTCTTTTAGTGAGCGAAATAAAGTTCCCTGGGTGAAGCGGGGAGAAACCTGTGTCTTGCGTCACAGAGAGCAGAAGAGCAGGCCACTGTGAAAAGAAGTTAATGTTGAACTAGATTGTGTAAATGAGATGGGGGAAGGCAACAACTGCAGTGGAGTAGTAATACCAACCTTAAGGCTAGTTCCAGTTGCCTTTTCTTATGGTTGAACCTAATGGGAGATGTGGACTCACGGGTCGCGGGAAATATTGTTGACCCGTCCCGAAGCGACGGGCTGCAGCTGCGCTAGTGAATTCAGTCCACTTGAGTAAGCTTCAACATAACCAAACTGGCGCAGTTGAGGATCTAAACACATCTCCATTACTAAATACCGCGCTCGGACGATTTGGGTTCCTTATCCACCTATTTAGATGCGCTGCGGACTTTAGAAATATCATAGGTAAGTAATGCATTGTGTCCTAGTCGTTCATGTGTCCTAGAGCTTTCCGGGTGGAGAACAGCTCTAGCGTATAAAAAGGGCGTTGGCCACCAAATAAGAATGAATTTCCTCTTTCCCTCTTTCCTTCTTTGCCTCGGTGGCTGTACTAGATTCTTTTCTTCCGCTTGCTACTCTGCTGACCATGGTGTGGTGGCACGCAACACTCTCCCTAAGTGTTGCGGGGGCGGCCTACGCGCTTTGGCTCGCTATATATCGGCTATGGCTTTCACCTATTGCTCACTTCCCGGGACCCAAATTGGCCGCCCTCACAATGTGGTATGAATTTTACTACGATTCGTTCCTAGAAGGTCAATACACCTTTCGAATCGCCGAGATGCATCGGAAATATGGCCCAATCGTGCGAATCAGCCCTTACGAGCTACACATTGACGATCCTGAATATTATGAAACACTGTACTCTCGAGATGCCCCGCGAAATAAGTCATTGCATTTGACAGGGATGTTTGGGGCACCGGCTTCCGCATTCGGCTCAGTCGACTATCGGTCTCATCGGATACGGCGTCAACCAATGAATCCATTCTTTTCCCAGCAACGAATCCGACGTCTGGAGCCAATGCTTCGGGGCATGGTTGACAAATTATGCAATGGTATGCGCGCTTGGAAGGATAGACATGCTCCACTACATGTGTACCATGCGTTTAATGCTTTCACCACAGACGTAGTCGTGGAATACACTATGGGAGAGTCATTTCACTATCTTGATGACCCTGATTTCAGCCCACAATGGTCCAAAACAATCCAGGCCATCGTGCATGCAGGCATTCAATTCAAACAATTTCGCTGGATGATAAGTCTGTTCGAGCTACTCCCACGATGGCTCGTCGTTAGCATCAACCCCGACATCGGGCCGGTTATCGACCAGAAAATTGAAAGTATGCGCCTAGCTAGCTTGGTCATTGACAGCCAAACCTCCGACAGCATTTTCAAAGGCGATAGAGCAAGTGTGCCCAAAGGCACATTATTTCATGCTTTTCTGGAAAGCACGCTCCCACCAGAAGAGAAAGCAGCTGATCGCTTAAGCCAAGAGGTTTTCACTGTTGTTGTGGCTGGTGGAGAAACGACTGCCAAGAATTTGGCCACCATCACCTTCCACCTCCTGAATAATCCTAAAAAGCTTCAGAAACTACGCGAGGAACTAAATCGCCTGGATCCCGATGGGACGGCGTCCTTGGTGGAATATGAGTCAATGCCTTACCTGGTAAGTTTTCTATGCCTTAGCTGCACTTTACAATGGAAATTGGTCGCTGATCGAACTAGACTTCTGTTATGCTAGAGGGCCTCAGGTATGAAAACTGTTCCTTCACTATAGTCGATGCATCTGGTTGCTCATTCCGATTTGTAGGATCACAAACGCTGTTGCAACGCGGCTTCAACGTAGCTCGCCAGATCTGCCTATGAGTTATAAAGATTGGGTCATTCCTCCTGGGGTAAGTTGCTTCTGTTTTCCTACTTATTATTTCAAGTCAACTCTCGCTTATCACGAAGCTTAGGTGCCGGTCGGTATGACGAGCTTATTTATACACCATAACGAAGACATTTTCCCTGATTCGCAAAGATTTGTCCCTGAAAGATGGATGGATCCAACGCAAAGGAAACATCTCGAAAAGTACCTGGTCGCCTTTAGCAAAGGGTCGAGGCAGTGCATCGGCATTCCGTATGTGTGATTTCCTTGGTTCCTTCTTCCAATGGTACAGTGCACTAACATCGGTCCATTAGTCTCGCGAAGGCTGAAATACTTTTGGCAGTCGCCACAATTTTCAGAGAATTTGAGATGGAGCTGTACAAAACTACAATTGATGATGTCCGTATTGCGCGTGATATGTTCAACGGCCATCCGAGAAAAGGGAGCTCAGGCGTTCGCGTCATGATTAAGGAGTGGAATGGACGCCCAAGTTCGAGCAAGAACTCCCCCGTTCCATGACAACCTCATTTACAAGACTGTTATCCGGTTTCATAATTCAAGCCTTAACATGGCCAAACCAATCTCCAGGCCATAATAATCTGAATTCAAGTTACGAAAACAAACAGAAAAAGAGATTCTACGTGTGACACGCCGTCTACGACTGAGAGTATTTTGAACTATATGGACCTTTTTCACGTAGGGAGGTCCCAACCGTGACACTGAGGAAGTGGGAGAGGTATGAATTGGCATTATTGCTCGACTTGGGTGATGCCCTTCTTTAAGGGCTGTGAACTAAACGGGTATTTACTGAGACTTGTTGTATTTCAGAGAAATGATTGATTGTGCTTATTTCTGAGGGGATTCAAGAGGTTATACAGCCACACCGCAAAAGTTTCCGTGATCCCGCTCCCACCTCAAATATATATCTCCCACCCCATACATTTCATTTAATTCCTATATACATTAATATTAATTTAATACGATAAAAATAGTATATTTAAATGCGCATTTCCATAGAGAATCTAGTAATACTATTTACATGCTTTTAATATCTAGTATACCACCCCTGAGCGGCAATTACTGCCTCACACCTCCGATTCATGCTTCGAATCAACCCATCAAAGTAATCCTGACCTAGCTCCCCCCATGCCTTATGAATTAATTGTTGAAAATGCTCAACTAATTCTTCTTTAGTTCCTGCAAATTTATCCAGGTCAGGATCGAGGCGATCGATCATTTCTTTTAGCTTCGCCCAGGCATGTTCAATAGGGTTCAAATCCGGCGAATACGGCGGCCAGTCAGTAGTAGGAATTGCATTCTCCCACAACCACGCTTTAATGATTTTAACTGTATGAATTGGAGCGTTGTCATGCATAAAAATGCGCCCCGAATTCATAAAAAATTGAGGTAGGTTTTCTTCGAGGGTTTCGAGATATGATTGTGAAGAGAAGCCTTGTCGTGCGGAGAATGGATCGCGATTCATTTGATATAAATCAGAACAACTACCACCGAATATCGCTCCCCAAATCATAATTGAGATTTGTTTTGATTTCGAATAAGTGACCACGTATTCTTTCCATTTTTCGTTCCGGTGGTTTAGGTGGAAGACCCAACGTGCGCGCTTCCCTTTTCCAATCTCTACCGAACATTCATCGGACCAAATAATACGCTTCCACTCTTCCCACGTCCAATTCCGGTGCCGTAAAGCCCAATCTAGACGTAGTGCGGCCACTTTAGGCTTTAAATAAGGTCTTTTCCGGGCTTTCCAGTGTCCGTACCCCGAGGATTTTAGTATTCGGAGGAGGGTATCGTCGGAAGCGGCTAAACCACTTTGCTCTCGGATTTCAGAGTAGAGAATAAAGGGATCACGCGTAATAATACGCAGAATCAAGCGTTTATCACTATCCGATAGAATAGGGGGGCGACCGAGGCGAGAAATCGTTTTTCCTTCAGTTCGAAGAGCATCTTGTTCGAGGGTATAGGTGATAGTGGAATGCGCCAAATTATGGATACGCGCAATTGATGCAATTGAGCACCCTACCTGGGCTTGACCGACGATTTTGCCCCGTAGATTTGGAGAGAGCTCAGTTCCGCGCGCCCTATTAGAATTAATAGGGCGTAGAGGTGTTCTTGGAACCATGGTTGATAGTTGAAAAGGGTGGGTTAAATTGACGCGTAGGAGAAAACGCGGGTGTGGGGCCGAAATCACGGAAACTTACAGCCGCGAACGAGAGCATTAGCAACATACGAGCTATGCAAAAACAAGGGCCATAGGAGATATGTATGTCCAGATAGATGATGATTTTAGTTTATTTATTTTAATGGCGTTTTAGTTGAGAAAAATGGATTTGAATTTAATAAGTTGGATGGGGTGCGTCTCTCAGTAGTGTGCGCCACTCGGTAGTGAAATACGTTAACTAGCGGATATAAGGAACTCACCTTCTCGGATGCTTCCACCTCAAATCGGCGACAGGGGTCTGCATTGAGAAGGTATGCGGAAGCGAGGCCTGCCATTCCGGAGCCTATTATGACCACTGTCTGACGATGTGAACCTCGCGACGTCAGGTGAAAAGCGAGTACTCTGCCTGGTCACTTCAGCCGTAGACAAGTGAGACAGGTCGCCTGAGATGTATGTTAGTTTTGGATTGTTCACTTGGTGCAGACAGTCCACGATCGAGTGCTAACTGGGATTTGTCAGCATTGCGTACGGTAAACCTCGACTGCCAAGATTTCGTAACTTGAAAGCCCCGGTCCGTCAGTTTGTCCGATTCCCGAACCTGGGCCCAACCCCCTCGCGACTTCAACGTTAACGAACCGAAAGCAACAACGCTGCCATACGTTTTGTTTGAAAAGCTCAATGGATCGAGGCAGCTCACCCAATTACAAAGAACTTTTCGAAAGAGAAACAAAGCTACGTAGACAGGCTGAGGAAGAACGACGACAGGCTGAGGAAGAGCGACGACAGGCTGACGAAGAACGACGACAGGCTGAGGAAGAACGACAACAGGCTGAGGAAGAGAGACGACAAGCCGAAGAACGAAACAGGCAGTTCACTAGAAAGACTTCTTTGCTAGAATATCTTCGAACCTGCCATAACTTGCTCTCCTGCCCCTTGCACGTTAGAACTCCGTCTCGTTCTACGAAGGGCAAGATCCCAGCCCCTCAAGGGAAGTATTGCCCCGCTCGCCTTCTTCCATGGACACATTGTGCCGCTGCACAGCAGGAAATATACGACTCGGTTTGCAGCTACCTTCAAGCAACGAGTGACCACCCTCCCCAATTATTTTCGACTGTTGCGCGTCTGGAAGGCGTCGCCGACTCGTTGGATCGTCCACTGAGCAGTGAACGGGATCTTGAAACTTATGAAAGACTTGCCGTTGAAAATCATGTGCGAGATATAATTTCTGAACTCTGCAGAATACCTGAAGCCCGGCGACGGTTTCGTCTTGGCGATGGCGTATGGTTTGAGAGCCATACCAATAGTCTAGAGGATGACGCAGCTCAGAATGATGGCACTCTCTACGTTGAAGACCGATCGTCAACACAATGCCGGCCAAGGCCCGACCAGTTCTGTATCCACCGAGCTGACGACAAAAATTCTCTGCTTATGACGGTGGAATACAAGCCCCCTCATAAACTGACTGTTGAAAATCTGCGCGTGGGTCTTCAGCCAAGGCTGGATTTCTGGGATGATGTGGTGCAACGCAAAGAGATACCTACCGATGAAGCTGAGAAGTTGAAATATAATGCCGAGCAGATTGTTGGGTCAGTTCTCACCCAGGAATATCACGTTATGCTTTGGGAGGGCCTTGAGATTTCCTATGTGACCATCGGTCTTGCACTGGTCCTTCTCCGAATACCTGAGGATGACCCGGGCACGCTACTTTACTTCCTTTGCGAGCCCAATATGGAAATTGATGGGAATGATGATGACAGCTATCGACAACCAAGAACAGCTGTTGCTCGGGTGCTTTGTCTTTCTTTGATGAGTTCTCTTTCAGCCATCCGCGACCATGCTTGGCGGACTAGTGCAATGGGTCAGCTGAATACTTGGGAGACTAGTCTTGAACTTGTACGGTCCCGAATACCTGATGACGAGCTCCAGCAAGCCCCACCTGGCTCAGAATATACGGGATCTCCTCATACTAGTACCGAAGGCACTGGTTCTGAATGGCTACCTTCGTCACCCATGCCGTCGCCCACACCACAAGGCCGTGCACAGCTTCGATCTGGTTGTGCACCGTCGCAAGCCGTCCCTGGTCCAGATCAGTCTTCCGATGATTCGGATTCAAATCAAACGGCGCCTGAAGCTAGACGAAAGCGGACTCTCAGCAAAGTCACGTCTTCCCCTCCTAACCAGCCAAGTAGGCCAAGAGGCTTTGGCAATGATCGAAGTGGGGCCCATCGACAACATACCGCGCAATTTTGTACACAACGATGCTTACTTGGGCTTCAACAGCACGGCTTGTTGGATGACAATTGCCCAAATGTGGACCTGCACAGAAAGTGTGGAAATGACGAACGGCATCCCATTACAAAAGAGGGCTTAGTCCAACAGCTGAATCAACAATTGAATAAAGACCTGGATCATTATTGCACCCCATTGGGAGATTGTGGGGCGTGGACGTCTGGGGCACCTTTCAAGATTGTTTGTGTCCGATATGGCTACACGGTTATTGGAAAGGGGACAACCGACCGACTCTGGAAAGAGGTGTCTAATGAAGCAATGATATATCGTATCCTCCAAAAAGCGCAAGGGTCCGCCGTACCAGTTTTCCTGGGAACAATCGACCTGGCTATGACTTATTTCCTCCATGGGGCGGGTGAGATTCGACATATGCTGCTTATGGCTTGGGGCGGCGAGAAAATAAGTAGATTGGAGCTTCCCGTGGATCTTGATTGTGAGCTTCGACGATCTCGGGAAGAGATCCACTCCCTCGGGGTGGTGCATGGCGACCTCAATGACGGAAATCTACTATGGAATTCAGAGTTGAAGCGGATTCTCATCATTGACTTCCATGACGTGGCACTGAACCCTGGTTTGAAAAAGAGGCAGTCGAGAGCATCAAAGAGGAAGTTGTTTGAACCACAACATCGAGAACGAAAACGCCTTCGGATGGCTCTGGTATAGACACAGATTTCACCCAACGGAAGCAAGGCTGAATTATTACCATGTCAAGCTCTTGGCTATTGCATTGTGGGCCTCGAGGATAAACGTACGTACTCGCAAGAAATACAGAACAATGCGTATTACCGCGCTCACGCGAGGATAGCGTTGATTAAAATCACAGTCGTTGGTCTTTCGGTATCGCGGCATATTGATACAAAGGACAGGGAAATGAAAGGTTTTACGAGAGGGGGACGAGGACACTGCGTTTAATGAATAAAAACATACAAATATTAGGCAGGCTCACGGAGCCCTGCGCATGCTGTGGCTAAGCCAAAGGCAAGTTTAGCTGTGACTTCGGCTCCTTAATGCCCACCTTTGGCAGCTGTTAACTTCAGTAGAGATCATCAGGCATCCTCGTAGGTCGTACCAGGCAGGACAACATAGCACCACCCAGAATGCAACTGACCCGTCATTGACACAGAATCCAGAGTTTTACATTCTCGCAGGCATTCAGCAGAACCGGAAAAGCGCGCGAGAACTACTCGATTAGGCGGGGTCAAGACCGACATCTACCTTCTGCATTAGTGTCAGTTTCACTTGTGCTTCCCAATGAAGCTCTGCGAACTTGAAGTTATGTGTATGGCTGTAATGTTTATGCTTGTAATCCAAAATATCTAATGACGGACACCTGTGGAGAGCCACCCAGCCAATAACCAGCTAACCTACTGCCATGTGCACAAGTTGCCGCGAAGGTACCGCGCGGGTGGGAGATTGATGAGCGCCGCTTTGTGGTCAAATATGCTATAGACAGTGTTTCGCCGAACATGGCGAACTGATCTCACGAGGCTCACATTAGGTCATATTACCATCTTTGGTAGACATAATCAGCCAAGTGCGTCGGACGCAGACGGGACATCTGTAATGCCGATTCCGTCATCATTGTGATTGTCGGTCACATGTTTCGCTGGGCTTCAGCATCTGTCTGTCACAATATTAGTCGAATACAGACTTCTCCAGCGTAGCTAGCGGAGGAAGGATCGATTGACTCGAATATTGTAGAGGTTCCATAAGAGGCCGTAAGGGGCAAGCGGAAGCTAACCCCTATGTTGCACCAACATCGTGCCAGGGGATTATGTCTAGTAGCTGCCCGCGTGCCTGACAAAGATTCCCCGAGGCCGTTTCAACCCAAGGCGGGAAGAACAGTTTCTCTCCTATAGTCTCGCCAAATGTCCGATAAAACCGTGCTAACCATACTGTTGTAGTTCAGAGGGATGATATTCATTTATCTTCCAGATGGAATATATGAGGCTATATATACAGCATAAGCTCCAAGTTAATTTCCAATCGACTTGCTTCTTCATCTAGACACCTCGGGAGCTAATTCCGATGGTGCAGGTTTGTTCCTGATCTGCACCAGCCTCATATCACAACACATACCCTATCCAGTGCGCCTCTTGCGGGAAAACTTAACGCTGGTATTAAGAGGAAATGTCGCTAGCTTGAGTAGAGATGGACAGAGGATTTGGACCCGTCCGCTTGAAGCCGGACAGTCTGTCGAGATTGGGGTAAAAATCGCATTCGGTCGTGGAAGACCCTTGAGTTTCAAACCCTGCAAGGTCAACTTTGTTAAGAACCTGCCGCGGATCATCAGGGTCACTGCGAGACAGGGAGGCGGTATCGGTATGCCAGAACATTCATGCTAGATAGCGTAAAGGGCGGATCCAAAACGTAGTGTAATAATGTTAGGACAAAATAGCTATCGAGGGAACGGATACAGACCATTTTTGGCCGAGTCATTCATATCCGTCGAAAACTCGCTGTCGAAGCCGCTGTAGAAAAAATACAGAGGTGTATAAAGTAGCGATTTAACGAGGGTTGGGAGGGATGGAAAGCTGGAGGCTGAGCAGATTTCTCTCTGATTACAAAAGGTCAGGACAAACTAGGGGGAACTAGGGGGGATTTATAGCCAGATGCTAAGTTCTCGAATGCGTTAGATGCATCAACAGCCGTGAACCGTTGGCACCCCGTCACCAAACCCAACGAAAATCCACTAGTGGTTGCATGAGCCTCGTCTAAGACCATCGCTGGTCTTTAGGAGACGACGCAAATAGATATCGGAAAAATCCAAATGTTATTCTTCTTGCCCGCAAACGTTTACGTATCTAACGGTAAAATTACAGATAACCTTTTTCAAACCAATGCACTCCTTGAGCTCTGCGGCGGTACTTTCTCTCTTCACCACCTCTCCACCTCACCACCTCACCACCTCACCACCTCACCATCTCCCCGGGGGTCAACGGCGATTAAAATGACTTGAGTTGATGTTCTATTGAGGGAAATAATAGCCCTCGGGCCAAAAGAATGTGGTATGAAATAACAGATGGTACTCTTACAGTTTTAAGCTGTCAAGACCTGGATAACCATGGTGAGAGTCATATTCCTCACGGGTCACACACAATGGGCACAGCGGTCCGTACTGCTACATCTCCAGCGTAAACCCTCAAATGCATTTGCCATCTGACCGGGCTTATCTGTACCCGTATCCCCGTCCAAAACATCGGGCCGACATGTACACTGGACAGAACTTTGTCACGATCGATGGAAGGTTTAGTACAAAGAACGGTCCGACACACGCTGACTTAGCGGCCTTACCCAGCGTCTATTCACTGCTAAGCCCCGAAAAGAATGCCTTGCCTGCCACCGGTCTCAAGAGGGCTCGCTGATCCCTAACGTACTCTTCCAGTATCTCATGAGTGCTAGAGCTGGTTGTACTGCTATATAACCTATTTCTTCTCAAATATTGACGATTATTGCCTACGCAGAAGATCTACATCTGGATCCCCGAGTGGCTTAAGCCGTGTCTGGCATAGCTCCTCCAAGCGCATCGAGCTTGTACAATGAACTGTGTCCCCTGGTCGCCCACACGGGGCCAGCTTGCTACACCACCCTAGGACTATCCACCTGAAAGTTGGTATATTCCTTGAAGAAGTGACCTATCGGTGAATTGGCCATACAAGGCCGCTCTATACCGTCAGACTGGGACTCAGCCGGCGAATCAGACGACCTACTCGTAAATTCTGTCTTGCACATCAGGAATCTCTCCAACTGGTCACTAGCTCCGCCATTCGCAGAAAGCTATTCGTGGCTAGTATATATTACACGATAACAACCGATAGTGGGCGATCTGCAGCCACAATTACATTGTCGGCTTCGTCGTAGCCCAGCTGTTGGGGTATTGCTCTTTAACCCCTCTATATTCTTTATCCGAGACCCTGGACCACGCTGGCCTCGGTCTCCATGGTGATTTATATGATATTGCGACTACCAAACGATGTGAATAGCTTTGAACTCGGTAAGCATTATTTGTATTGACTCTGCTCATCTGAATGCTACACATGTCGAATCGGTTCGTAGAAAATCGGATAGGGGGTTACTAGTATGCTGTGGTTGAGGGATCCGTAGGTTCGTAGCACGAAAAAGAACAGCCCTAGAGTGAAACAAATTTCAACTGTATCCAAGCCTATCCTGTTGTTTCTCGTCCATGATAATAGAAAAGCTGACACTTTAGCACCATCGTACATCTCAAGCACTAGGGTCAATCTTGGCCAACGTAGTCCAGTGCCCATCCTTCGGGCGTTAGCTGCCCACAGAATTCAGGGTTATAGACAGGTGCTGTCTTATCCAGGGTAGCCACATATCGATTGTGGCCCCTACGTTTCCCGTGTGTTGTATAGTGGGCTTTGAGGTTATCGCGACGCAAGAAGCGGCGTTGGCAGCCAGGTACCCAGCAAACATGAGGCCTCTCCCCTGAATGGCTTGCCAGGTGACGATTAAGGGTCTTTTGAAGTTTGAAATGACTCTCACATCCCCGAACGTCGCATTCGAACTGCCGTCGAGGGATGTTGGTTTGGGAACCTCCAGGGCTCAAATTGGCCGGATCCTGCGAGCTATATAATACATTGCCAGGCTGTCCGAAGGCTTGGCATGGTCTAGCAACATCATTCTGGCTGTTGTGCCGCAGTTCCTCAAGCGGCTGTGGGTAGGGAGCGTTGATGTTCACTTGGCTTGGGAAAAGGCAAGTTTTGAAGAAACTCGGCGTATAGTCAAAGTCGCCAAGAGGTGGCCCTAGCAGGAGGTGGTTGAATGACACTGAGGTAGGAAGACATCCGAGCCAACAAACCACAGGTCGCGATCCGTAATGGATGGAACCTGGATCAATCGAGCAACCTGTTTGCCCATGATAGTGACCGCCACAACCGCCTTGGTGCTTTGGCCCCGAGTGAGGCAAGGCCTGACAACTAGCTAGCCCCCCATGGTTTTGGTAAAATTCCATGCCAGCCCACTCGACAGGGTCAGGATCTTCGATTGCCTTTGTTCGGCGCGATCATGGCAAGGCATTTGTATGCCATTTGAGAATGCCAGATTATTTTCTCCACCTATTTGCGAGGATAGTGTGATTTGCTGTTCTATGTGTGGACTTCCACCCGTAAATAGCATATTTGCAGACATCTTTTGCAAACAGAAGAAAAAAGTACAAGCGCCAAGTTCTACACAGCACTATAGATGTGTTGTCCGGATGCCACGCTTAATTAGTCTGGGTGCAAGCATGGGATGTCGGCTAGAAGTATTCGCGGAGTATTGGCTAGCTAGGCGAGGTAAACAGAATCGACTCAGTGGTATCAAACTTGCGGCCACGCTTTCATCCTATAGAGTGAAAAGTGTGGCCAAGTTAATGTTCCCCATCCCACGGACAGCGTTGTATAACGGAAACCTGCTAATTTCTACGTTAGATTACGCCTTGATAGATTTGATGACAATGATAGGGAGTTGATAGACGGAAAACCGTTGAGTAAACGGTGATCAGACACCTGCGAGCTTTACTTCAAGACAAGGCGTTATCGCCACTCACAGTCTCAAACATGGCGTGATGAGCGCCAGAGCTTGATACGACATTTATACGGACTTTCAACAGCCGTTAATGACCCTTCCTTTAACTCCTGCATGCCAAGTCTGGCTACTCAAGGATGGTTGGTTCAATTTAAGAATCATAATCAAAATGGGGATACAGATGTCCAACAGCTCGCTAAAAACAAACAGCCGTCAACACCAGTCACATTTCCGATTGCGTTGAACGATTCGTCCCACCACTGGAAGGATATGGGATCATCTGTTTACAAAATGGTAGTCTATAAGAGGGACCAGCACCAGGTAGAAAGCAAATTGTTCAACAATGGTTATTTGCCCGTGGAGAGATGGATGCCCCAAAGAACCCAACGGACCAGCAGCCGAGTAAAATCTCAATCCAGAGGGATAAAGCCCATCCACAGGCCAAAAAGATATGCTGGCGACCGAGCGTTTTCAACAATTTTGGAGAAACTAGCGGATCTCGAAAGCGATGGTCCGAAACTCGCTTTTTTCAGGCGGCTCGACCTGCGGGGCTCTATCGACGCATATGGGCCTCGTGCGTACCTAAACCCCTCGATGAGGAGAAACTAGGTCAAAATAATAAAGCTTCCAGGTGGCTAACATCAATCCGAGCGACAGGAAAGACGATCTTCAGCTTCGTACCGGTGAGCAGCTATCTCGGCTGCATCTCTTTGAACAGGCTTTAAATCTGTCTCAGGAACGACTGATGGGCGTCCTCAAGGACTGAAAATTGCACTGGCTCGGGGCCGGTTGACAGGGGCACCGGCGGGCCTTGTCTGAGCCCGTGAGGTGGTGATCGGTCATTGTTGTCTGATTCCGCAGGGAGTCGCCTGGAAGCTGACGATGCCTGACGCTGGCTCGGATTTATAATAATCGATTGAGAGGCGATCCTAGAGTCAAATGGTACTCGCGCCTGGTTGCGGACGGCTGCTTCATACCACTGCTGGCCAACTTAGTTGGCCTGCCGTTGCCGGTGCCACCTCGCGCAGAGGAATTCTTTAGTAATAGCACAGGGCTTAGATTGCAAAGTTGACAAGTCAAACGGCTCCCTGGCGAGAGTGTTCAGCTTCTGATGGCCTATCTTGGTATCTTCAACTTTGATTGAGTTTTTGCACGGCTCGCCGGGGGTCTATCTGTCAGGCTTTGTAGCTCGTGTCGAACTTCTGCGAGGGCGGCGGTAAATTCTTCTTTGACTTTCTGAAGTTCTTCCTTGTGCAATTCGTCTCGAGGTCTGGTCTCCTTCCTGAGTTTGACGAGTTCCTTTAACAGTTCCGAGGCGTTCGGGTCCTCGCTCTCTGTTGATGATTCCGATGTTATCACTTCACGTTGGGCTACTGGCTTGCCCTGGGTCTTCTTCTTCCGTTGGGAACGCGCGTTGCTTTGCTCGATATCGAGTTCTTGATCCTGGGCATAATTGTTAGGCGGTCTGGTGGAGCGTCTCGGTCTCAACAATCGCGGTGGAGAATTTTCGTGTTCGTTGCGGTCGGGCGGTTCAGGGGTTCGTGTCTCGGCCCGTCCCGACATGTTCGCTCGATCAATGTCGCGCGTCAAGTGTTCCATGTCAAAGTCACTCTACGGTACAGTGATCGAAGGGCGGTACAGTCCGATGCTACCTCTAGGTTGAGTCCTAGTTCTGCTACAGTCATTCTCGAAATCGGCTTGATCGATACACAATCAATCACTCTTTTCTGGCCCCACTGCCAAGACCTTAGCGCAGATCATTAATTGGGCGGGCCGCAGTAAGTTGAGGACCACTGTAAAATGATTTTTATATACTATAGAAAGTGCAGAATAAATAGGGGTTGAGCTTAGTAAGGTGGTTGAGAGCCTTAGGATCATCAGGCAGATGGGGGTGCTGAATTCCTCGGGCGCACTAGTAAAATGACGCCCCTCTTTCGTCGACATATCGTCACGGGTTGATCCGGGCTGGTTACAAATCACATGTATTTAGTCATCATTTGGGAGAGTGAGACGAGGCAAATCCGGACCATAAGTCCGTATTCTGCAACTCCACTTTCCCCTCTCCCTCCTTATCCCTCCAATCAAATGATTTTACCAGTCTACTGTTTTCTGTTATAAGAAGTGACTGTCCGCCTATCAGGACCGTTGTTTCTGTGGGTTGGTTTGTTAGGTTGCATCGTCGTGGACTATTGGATCTGCACGGGCCGAGCCGCTTCCTCTCCTTGGATGCGGCTCTAGTCCTTGATCGCCTATACTCGGGCGTTACTCTCTCCATTTCGCCTTGCGTAATTCGTAATTATACCAGATAAGGCGCCATGCAGATCATAGGCGGTGATCGCCAAACGTATCGTCGAGCTTGGTGTCGGTGTTGGCTATACTGGGGGCCTGATGGCGAAGCGCTACAATGGACCGGACCGGTCCGGAGGTCGTCCGGAGTGGGGTTAGGCTAGCTGGATGAGATCGATGAGTCGGCGCCTGGGTAGGAATTAATAACTAGCTAGTTTCGTTGAATACTACCTAGGCAAGGTATACCTTTTTCCGGTTCTAGTTTAGTGAGCGGGGTGACTACCAATAATCCTGCTTTTCCTCGCAATCTCTAGCTTTGTGGAATTTGCCACCGAATTTACCGCTCGAACCGCTGGATAATCGTCTTCGAATTGCGTTCAGAATCGATTCGTGTAAGTTCTTCGATTAAATGCTCATATCCTTTGCACTCCGTATACGTCACTGCTGACGAGTGCTTCTCCGACGCCATTTTTGTGAACTCAGCCTATTTGAGTATGTCACAGTATTTCTGTGTTCGAATGCGTAAGCTGTAACTGATTTTCATTGATACAGACTTGTGATTCGTCCCACATTATTTTGCGAAGGCTGGATCATCACTCCGTCTCATGGCTGCCAATATCACCATCGGCGCATCTGCCAGAACGAGCACCTCAGCCAAAGAACTTTGTCTTCTATCATCTACTACCTGGCAACCGATGAATCTACGAAATGGGAGAACAACCAAACAATTCAAGGAGAGTGTGACTTCAGATTTCGAATGTACCGACTTTTCCTCCTTTTGCAGAGTATTTTGCGGTTCCAAATCGCCAGTAGATGTTTGTCAAAAGAACTCGCAAATATGGCATACCCCCTTTTAGCTGGAGTCTTCAATCTTTGGAATCTTCCTATTCTCAATAAAGAGGCTAGGGAGGATGGACACCAGTCCCTGCGCCAGAAGAAAATAGAAAACATATCGAAGGGCACTCATGTACGCTTGAATAACAAATCCGTTCTGTTCTTCGGAGAGTGGCACAGTATCCAGGCCGGTGATGTTGTCTAGTTGGACCTTCATACCAACTGCTTCCAGCTTTTGGTGCAAAGTAGTTTGGAGTATGGCCGATGATACCGTCAAACCAATAACCACACCAATGGATCGAACTGCCCAAGAAGCGCTCTGAACTGTTGCCAAGTTTTCCTCAGACACAGACGTCAGAATTCCCATAAGATTTGTAACGTAAGTTCCTCCAACGCCAACACCGATGATGCCAAGGAACAGGTATGGTTTCCAGGAAGACGAGCCTGGACCCAGCGAGCAGAGGAGACCGTAGCCCACTGTAGCAATGGATAACATAAGAATGTTCAGGTGATAGTATCGTCGTAAACGAACAACAAGATAACCAGCAGCTCCAGAACAGGCCCCGAAGGCAACTGCCAAAGGGATAAGTCGAAGGGAAGCCTCAAAAGCAGAGAGGCCAAGGACCTGAAGGTAGAGAGGCACATAGAACATAGAACTAACGAAACAGCCTGTGCTAAAAAAGGTAGTAATCTGGATGAAGCCGACACTGCGTTGCATCAAAGCCCTTATCGGCACCACGGGGCTCTCGGTACGGTATGCGCTATATAAAAACAGGGAGAAGAAGGGTACGACAAAGCACAAAGGGGCGATGGTGCCGACGTCGGCCCAGGAGAAGGTGGCGCTTCCGTGGTTGAGTCCGAACTGCAACAGCACAATTGTGGCAATCAAGGTGGTAATGCCAACGACGTCGAGGCGCCGGTGGGCACTTGTGTTTGCGCGTTGGTCTGAAATCTTGACGTACCAGAAGACGACGGTACCATCTAGGACGATGATAGGGACCTGGATCAAGAAGGCCCACCGCCATCCGATAGCGGCATTGATGGCAGCACCATATACCCCCCCGATGGCCATACAAACGCCATAGAGCATAGAGCCAAGGCCCTCAATGAGGGCGCGTTGGTGGGCAGGAATAAGATCCGTCTCGACGACTGATGTAATTGAGGCAATGGTGCCGCCGCCAATACCCTGTAAGGCGCGGCCCACCAAGAACAGCGGCAGATGCGTCGTCGCTAGACCGCAGAATAGTGTACCCAAAGAAAAGAGAAAATAATTGACGGCAAGAGCCTTGCGGCGCCCGTATTCGTTGGCCAGGTGACCACTAATAGCCTGTGACACGGTGCTGCCGATGACATAGGCTGTTGTGATCCATGAAAAGCTTGATGTCGCCGATAGAGAGCTGGCAATAGGCGTCGCAATTGTAGCGATCATGGTTTCATCTTAGTGTTTCCAGTTAGGAGTCAGTGGGAGAGGTTTCATTACCGATGCGTATGGCGATGATGACATACCGAGTGCCATGAGCAGAGTCCCGAGCTTTCAGCTGTTAGTACGCTTGCGACAGGCTTGGTGAGAGCTACTGACCCAGAGGCTACCTAGTAACACGACAAGACGTCGCATTTTTACAGCGCTCGACTCGCTGAGGGCGGCTTGTGAGATACCGCCATGCTCGTCAAATTCAACACCATCAGCCGTATCTGCCAGTGCATGCTTTTCGCCGTTCGTCTGTCCCGGCGTTCCGTTGTTACGGTGTTCTGAGGCCATTTCCCAAGCTTGATCCTTCTTGACCGACACCTTCAGATACCGTCTAGGGAAGTGGTGATGGATAAATTACTTGGCTCAAACGAGTATTGTGCAGTCTCACGTGTGCATGGTATGTGCATGGTAATACCGCTCGACAGTGTTGGGAGGTTGATATGCGGAAGCTTGTTCAAAGGCGGAAATTCCACCAACCCGACACGGATGTAACCTTTCTTTTCCGGGCTAACCCCTCACTCGAAGTGGCATTTGAACACCTCCTAATAATATCTTGTTTTCTCTTACTATCCTTTAGTGACGAATTTATGCTGGCAGGAGATTCTGCAGCCTAGTCAGCCCAGACCGCCCAGACCTTCTAATATGTTGATTTTCTTGTAAGATTCTTTATCTCTACTCTCTTCAGATAGGTCCATACGATCACCTCTCTTTGCTTCGTCTGAGTCTGAAGTCTAGCTCTAGCAATCTATGATCTAGACCCACGCCACGATGCGTCCTGTATGTTTAACCAGAAATAACATACAACTACAAGCGTTTCTTAACCGATATGATGTGAGAATCTCTCCCCCCTTGCTATCCCACTGCCAAAGAAAAGCTAGAAAGGAATTTCAAGTTAAACATCAAGCCAGATATTTCTCCTAGATTGCGATGGTAATGACCCATATCAGCGGTTTATCAAACAAGCACGCGCGGTCTGACTTGCCCTTAGGTGTCATATGGTCTGGCGAGGAGCTACTCCCGGGTGCTGCAGAGGCCATAAAGTCTTTACGAAAGCAAGGTAATATTGCTCAACTCCCATTCTGGGAAGCATTGCCATTCTTACGTCTCAATACAGGTAAAATGATCATCTTTATCACTAACAACTCGACCGAGTCGCGTGCAAATTTCTGCCGACGATTCGAAAAGTTCGGAATACCCATTCACATAGACGACGTCTTTACCTCGGCTTATATTACCGCCATCTACCTCTCACAAGTTCAGCAGCCTGCCCCACCTCGGGATGAAGTCTTCATCCTCGGCAGTGAGGGCATTGAGAACGAACTTAGCGCTGCTGGCATCAGGCACTTTGGGGGAACCGACCCAGCATTTCAGCGCAACATAACACTTGAAGACTTCAAGGATCTTGCTGCTAGTTCCACACTATCGAGCGGCGTGTGCGCTGTCGTGGTGGGAGTGGACTTGCAATTGAACTATCTCAAGCTCTGCCAAGCAGTGACCTACATCCGCAACGGCGCAACATTCCTAGCAACTAACACGGATGCCACGTTCCCTATCTTTGATACCGTCTTCCCTGCCGCCGGCTCTGTTGCCGCTGCCGTCTCCCGGGCTTCCGATGTCCAGCCGCTTCTGATGGGCAAGCCAGGACCTTACATGATGGATGCGATCTTGGCGCGGCACGGAGATCTTGACAGGAGCCGTACCTGCGTGGTGGGCGATGGAATTGACACAGATATTAGGTTCGGCGTAGAGCAGATGCTAGGCACACTGCTTGTTCTGTCGGGTGTTTCGTCGCGCCAGGACTTGGAATGTACCAGCACAAAATATGCACCAGAGGCATTTGTGGAACAGCTTGCAGATTTGGTCCTTTAACCTTCTAGAGGGGCGTGTGACAAATAAGAGCTATGAATAGTTTAGTAAATACTGACAGAAATCAGGCGTACCAAAACGTATGGTAAAAATGGCAGATATGGAAGACTCTGTTAACTCTAAAATGACAAAACCCGCTATTTCAACAATCTGAGCGGACATAGCTGACTAACTGTAATATGCACTTTTGTATGGTATGTCGAGTACCACTGATCACATGATTTTCGGGGTAAATTACCCTGTCTCCACCACGTAATGCACCTCTGTAGTCCGACAAATACATCTCACTTGCAGCTCACACTTCCTCCTGTATTATTGGCTGGGCAAGTGCAATACCGAGTTTAATGTTACAAAACTCAGTTAATGAAGATAGATAGCAATTTTTACTAGTACTAGCTATGACGAAGGAAACTCAGTATGAGGAGAGAAATTTGCTGAAATGGGTGGTACCCGGTCCTTGCCAAGTAACCCTACCCCCTTCGGGTGTTGGGTTACCACACCGTAATGTAAACTCTTGCTCAATGTAATTTTAAAGAACGCATGAAATATTTTTGTATTTTTCTCAACGTACAACGCCTATAAAAATCTAAAAAAAATCCTAACAAATACTCAAATAGTAGATATATCATCCATTGGTGGAATCCATGGAATAAAACGGGGTGCTGGGGTTGGTGTATCCTCCGTAGTTAATGGCTTCGAAATCCGCTTTTTCAACCGCCTCTCTTCTTGCACCTGCTCTTTCGATTCTCGCGCCCGGATAATTCGATTGGCATCACCAGCAGTAAGGGGGCCCCCTAGGTTGATCTGGCGCTTGGTAATACGGGCATCTCGGTGGACTTTATGGCGTAACAGGGTGGTATTGTCCTTAGCAAGCTGCGTAGCTAGCTCCGCTGAAATTCGCGCACTCCGGCATAGTAGCTTTGCTCGGTGCTGAATAGATGCATAAAGCTCGCTATCTAGCAATTCGATATCTGCCTCCAATTTACGCGTACTCTCGTTTGTACGAGAGATTCCACGGGGTGGTGAATTGGTAATAGAGCTAGGAAAATCAACCTCTGATCCGTCGTCTTCACCAAAGACAACTAGATCATCCCCGTAATCCATAACTTTTTCAAGCGGATTAAGCACCTTTTCATAGTTAAATGGGGAAATGCCACAATTAGCAAATCCCGACTTAATTACTCGGGTGGTGAGAGCATTGCGAACAGATACAATTTCTCGAAAAAAATCCGCTTTTCGGTCCACCGATCCACCCCATTGAACAACAGCGTTGTTATTAGACTGGTAGCAATGCTTTAAAGCAAGAAAAGGCTTGCTATCTAGCGGCTGGCAGATATGCGTCGTATGGGGTATAAAGCAATAGGGGATAATGCTATTCTCCGCTGCAAAATTGATGAATTCTGGAGTACGGTGGGATCCATGGTTATCCATTAACAAAAGGCGTTTACTACCCCGAGTAGTACGATCCTTAGTTGCTAGATGAAAAGCGCGAAGCCATTGAACTGCAGTTTGATCTGTAGTATACCCACATGGTGTAGTTACTAGGGTATAATCCTCCGGAAGGTTGGTATCTTTATACCAATTCTCCATATGGAATTTACCCCTAACTAGGAACCAAGGTGCCATCTTCCAGCCATCGGCAGCAATACATTCAATGCCGGTAATACCCTCAGCAATACCTCCATTTGGTGAAAATAGAGTCTGGCTTTTTGAAACGACTTTTTGAGGCTTTCCTTGGCCAATTTGGAAGCCAGTTTCGTCGAAGTTGTAGATATCCCGCTGGCTTAATTTGTTGCTTTCGATATACTGGTTTAAGCGCTGGTACCAAGTAGTAAGATAGCCAATATTTTCAGCCTCCATCCTCTTCTTTTCCTTTGGTTTTTGTTTTATAAACTGAAGGTTATGGGTAGGTGGGATACGTTTTAAAAACCGGTATACCCAGTTTTTATCAACCGGCGGACGCGACGTGTTTTCTTCCGCATTGGCGCGTTGAATCATTGAATTAGCGCACCCTTCTACCATTCTAGCAGCTGGTGGAGAGCAAGCATCATCTAATATAGTGATCCAGCTAATTAGGGCTTGCTCTTGATCCGGATTTAATGTCGAATTGGTAGGACGGCGCGTCGAACGAGAACCCCGACCGTGAACCCGGTTATACAACAGATTGTAAGGAACGTCGAATTCTCGCGCCAATGGGCTTATTTTTGGTTTTTTTCGAGCATGCCATGCAGAGAGAGCATTTGCAAGGGTATTCTCCAAATCTGGGTTTTTTTCCGGCACGTTGGTAGGATGTAAAATGGTAGTAAAAATGGTGGGTGGTGTAAAATTTACATTGAGCAAGAGTTTACATTACGGTGTGGTAACCCAACACCCGAAGGGGGTAGGGTTACTTGGCAAGGACCGGGTATTGTGTTGCTGGTCCCCAAATGGACAGGCGGTAAGATACTGCCGTCATGCGACCTAGCAAGGTTGTCATAAAATTATGGAATTAGCTTTGTCATCCACCCTTAGGTCAGCTATTCGTCAGCTCGACACAGGACGAACAATGAGACAGACTGTTACAGATTTGAGAACGCATCCCATTGGTCGATATATTACGTCCTTTTACGTGAATTGAAAAAGGCCAGGTCCCTCAGGAGGACATCCTACTCTCGTCAACCCAGAACCTCTACGCCGGGGCCGCCTCGGGCGCTCACGGCCCTCGCCCCTGATCTCCGTGTCATCAATACGTGTTGGTGCGCCGCGGATCCCCGATGATAAGGTAGAAATCTCGGTTGGGCCTCATTCTGACTGGCCGCCTCGTCATCTAGAAACACTGGCTGGCCCCACTGCCACCACCACTGGTGTAACCGAGGAACGACTTACGTGCTATCCTCGTTAGCTTTGCTGCAAATGCCATCACAGCTAGTGTGGAGAAAGGGTTTAAGTTCCATAAATACTGGGCTCTGTCAGAACTAGCAAATAACAGCAATGAGCTAGCCGCTTATGTGTCCGAATCGCTGAAAATTGTCTATCCCAATTAGATCGACGGCCACACAGGCCCTCTCCTACAGCCATATATACGGATCATCGTTATCATGATGACTGCAACGCACCAATTATAAATACAAGGCCTGGCAAGTACTAAATGGTCTAGGATGATGTTGAGGGCTGTAGCAAGCACATAGGCTAATGCAATGCTAGCCTAGTGCATACGTACACTGTCGCACTATACTTGTACAAGATTAGTGTGTGGAGCCGCTAGTCCGTGGCGGTCAGAGCGCATTTGCAAAATAATTACTACTAAATTTGGCCTTCCGAAGGAACACTAAATCGAGTATTTCCCTGGTGGGGGAAGAGGCCGGCTGGGTGCCTTAATTTCACCCAACCCCGCTTAGAGACTATGAAAGGGGAGACGCAACTTCATACATGCCAGCTGCTTGCGCAAACTACTGGAATCCACTTTCCAGTTGTTGGGAGTGATTAACCTATGCGCCAGACCCTCAGCCTGACCATGCACCTCTTCCGTTTCAACGTTGTCAACCATAGGGTTGAAAAAGAAAACAATCAAACTAAGGATTACTGAGCTCGCTTTACCATGAAACCATATATTTTGTAACAGCAGGTATGGAGAGTGTGATGAGGATGCTAGAAAGTCTTCTTTCCGGAAAATTCAGAACTTGAGGACAGCCTCTCATCCCTTACTTCAATTGGCTACGACCCCTCGTAGCTACAATCCATACAATATCTAGCAGAATTCTTGCACCTTCCTGACATTCTCGTGGAAACTCTCTCAAGATTTCCGACCATTCTGCAGGGGAGAGCCCACCATCTCCAACAGCACAGGTTGGAATTATATCATTCTCGATGAAATCCCCGGTCGCCATGACTTGCATAGTAGTCCATGGCTTTTCCATACGGGGCGTAATAACTTGGCGACGCTCCTTCACGACTTCCATGTTGTGTTGGGACAAAAATGAGCCCATATCACTGACCCAGCTATTTTAGAGATTAGGGTTCTTGATCTGACAGCCTTGAACAGTAAAATTAAATCACTTGCCTGCCTCTTATTCCAACGCTTTCAAGCCATATCTTTCCATGCTCAAGGTATTTCGCGCAGTTTGGATATCTCTTGCTTGCATCGTCAGTCCGCATGTACATGTTGACAACATCAAGTTCTTCCCACTGGAGGAATCCACCCGGTTCTTCAGCAATAGTTAGTTTTAGTGTTTTTGCGTCATAGAGCGGTGCCATACTTAGCATTGACCTCAAGTTTGCAATGAGTCGGCTAGGATCCCCCTCTTGGATGTAGAGCATCAACCCACGGCAGTGGACTACGTCATATTGGCCGTGGAGGTGTTCGGGCACTGAGCCGAGGGCGTCCAACGTGTCTAGGAAGATATTTGCTGGAAGTTCTCTCTTGGTTGGGAAATGAGCGGACGAAATGTCGAAGCCATGGAGTTCAGCCGTTGGTGGCAGGACCTCCGCTAAATCCAAGAGCCAAATACTGATTGGACGTGGTCAGCCAAGCATGACCTTGAAAGCTTGTATAAATATGCTTACCCAGTCCCGCACGCAATGTCTGCTATTTTCAATGATCCTCCCAAGGGAATTGCTGGATCGAGAAGTGACGAAATCTGGTCCAAGATCATCCAATGTTGAAGATAAAGTCTTGTGTATTGTTAGATCATCTAATTCATTGAAGGGGCCAAATGATTCCTACCGTGCAGCGGCTTCGCTGTGCCTGCTGAAATTGAGAGTAGTTTGAGACATGCTTGATTCTGGGTAGAGGTCAACAGGAAATATGAAATGAGTACCACAAATGCGTGATATATCCTGTGGCAAATATTCTGGCAGATCTGTCATCGTGAGAAGGCGCGTACACTTTTATGTGTCTAAACACAAATAAATCATCGAAAATTATTCATCAAATACTACCTGCCTAAAAAGTCTGGATGCGAAGCGGGGTTGCGAATAGGGCTGAAAACGGTAAAAACTTGTTTTCCCCGCAGCTATAATTATATTGAAACGGCCACAAGCTCCTACCAATGCAACATCGTCCCAATCAGGTCAATTGTCGCCATATTGCATTATACATTGCTCAATAGCCTGGATCTGCAGGGCGAGAAGGGCGGAGTAATACCGGGAAAGTGCGATGTTACCCGCGGCCACCCAGAATCCCGGAAGCCCTGATCGTCTCCATACAGACTTCAACTCCCCTTCTTGAGTCAAGCCCCATAATGCATTTGACCTATCGGCAACCAGGTCCCCAAAGATCTTACGCGTGGTTTTGCTCATGCTCTCGTAACCTGTTGCAAAAATAACCACATCTGCTGCCAGATCTGTGCCGTCCGCTAGCACAAGGCCCTTGTCGTATATGCGCACTGGCTCGCTTCCTTGCTTCACGGCGATGTTGCCATCGATGATGTGCTGCGAAGCACCAGAGTCAATGTAATAGCCCCCACCGGTCTCCAGAAACATTAGCTTCCTCCTAGTGACCAACCTCGTTTAGCAAAATCGAGTCATTTGGTAGGTTCTTCACACAATGCGACTTTGACTCACCCGGAAGACCCTGGTCCCCAGTTTAGCGCGAACCCCCTCTTTTCCAGTCCTGTAAACACCCCCGCATGCCTATCCCGCAGCTTCTGCGTCAGTTCCATTTCCTTGCGCTTTAGCACCGCAGTAGGTACGCTCTGAGTGAGCAAGTCTGCCTCTTCGGCCGGCGGACCATCTGCAGTATACAGCCCCTTTCCTTTGCTGTAGTCGGATGGATCGACGCATGTCGAGGAACGCTGCACCATGGTAACGTAGTAACCCTTCTCGTAGAAGTCGACCGCAATGTCATGCGCAGAACTACAGCTCCCTACAATGACAGCGTGACCGCCGCCGCTGCCGGGAGGTGTCGCCCTGTCGAACTGCGATGAATGGCAGAGATGACCTTCAAACAAACCCATTCCCGGAACTTCAGATACCCTGGCCTCACTAGCAAGCCCGGTGGCTTGGATGATATGTCGTGGGTACATCGTACATAGTTCTTGCCGTCCGTCGGGAAATTTTCGCTCGACGACGACTTGCCATCCAGTCCCTTTCCAAATGGCACTCTTCACGGCCGCCGAGTTCCAAACGTTGAGTTCTATTTCAGACGCATAGAATTCGAGCCAGTCGCCAAATTCGTCTTTAGATGAAAAAGTGGGCCAATCATCTGGAAACGGAAGAAATGGCATGGTGTTATCTGCAAAGCATTAGAAGATTCAAAGCCTGTTGAAATACCCACCGGACGTCGCAGGTTGAGACACTTGGACGTACACCAAACAGGATCGTGCAGAAGAAGCCGATGGTACCGATTCCGCCAGTTGTCGCCCACCCGACGATTTCTCTCCACTATGAGCGACAAAATGCCAATTCTTTTGAGTCGAGCAGATATCATGAGCCCTGTATGCCCTGCTCCTATTTTTTTAATGCACTTTCAGTTACTGTTTTCTTGGATGACAAACTTCACTTACCAACAATAAGTACTGCCGGATTGTGACTCTCATGCGACATCGTGGGTGGCTGATTAAGGTCGGCTTCGTTTTCAATGGGGCTTTGGTAGCCCTGCAGTCTTCGTAAAGTTGTGAATAGAGTGAAGCATTTCCATTCTTTGGTTTGATCGTCTTGCATGAGACGTATCACACCCTGGCCATGGCCAATGTTGCTCGCGACCTTGGTAACCGCTTCAATCCCGCCAACCATGCCATTGTTGTCAATATTTGTGTATTTGGGAGCACCGGAAACCTCAAACCCCTTGAGCCGCGTGCGCAACATGTGTTCATCGAGGAAATCGCGAATGCCTTGCGGGCCACGCACAGCGCGGAACTCCCATGAGAGAAAGAGATGATCTCTCCAATAAGACTCATCGAAAAAGAGACTCTCGAGTGAGCCGTAGTCCGCATTTCTAAGTAACAAGTTGAAAGCGCTGACCCATGTTTCAACTAGTTCCCGCATGTTCGAAGGGATGTAGGATGTAGCTGCAGGGTAACTTGCAGGAAGAAGTTGAGCTGCGGACATGAGATTCACCATCGTGTCGGAGGCTTAATTGGTTTCGATTCTATTTCCGAACGAGGAATATAGAAATTATGCGTCTACTGATGTGAATTTATACCAAGTACATGGCCCGAGGAGATGATCACGACCCAGTGGAATCACCCAACGAGCAGATTTTCCTCATATGGAAGACCAAATCTTGCTTTGATTAGAAATACCCAACCACTCAACCCCAAGCCCTGTCATGGTTATTTGGAATTCTCCCGCGAAGGAATTGCGTATTTGGTCGCCGGGGGTAGTTTAGAGCGCTTTTGATATAGCGCTAGGTATTAGTGTATCAATGCAATTTTATTTCAGGCTGGATGTAGTAAAGCCCCCATCAAACCTGATATTGCGCAGTGGGTCAAGAATACTACGCAACTATTGGCCTCTTATGAACATATCCCCACCACGTTTTTCCATCTGCGAGAGATGCAGGGTTTGGAATATAAGCTGACAATCGATCAACTTCATCCGTAAGCCTCCAAAGGACATACAGATCTGTGGCGTTGTACATTGTACTGGTTACTTCTGTATTCATGCCCATGCACCGCATTGCCTAGCGGAAAGTATACCATGTAGCCGCCGTGAGCGCGCACAAGTAGCGTACGTTTCGGATCATGATGTTAATGTACTGAAGTGCCACGTAATCGGTTGGAGGCGTTATCAGCACGTCTTCCTCTAGGATCATGCTGTGATTAGTACTATGTGGGTACTAAGAGATATTCATTTTTGTAAAAGCCGATCAGGTTACATTGCATGATGGTCAGATTACACAGCGTGAGGGGTAGGGATAAGGCAACAGGCCGTAGTAGATAGAACTTGTTCCCGAAGGCGATTGTAGTATCCCTAGTTACCACTAATTGCCACCAGCCATGGCTGATCAACACGACGTAGCAAGTTCCGGTTAGGGTCAGGCACCCTATTCGATACTGGTTGGATTTAGCGGTAAAGGTCGGGAGTGATCGCGGCTGTGAGATTCAAAGTTCTCGACGGCTCACGCTTGGTAAAGCCTGTTTCGTGATTCACGAGCAGTGTAATGTATGTTTGGTACGAGATAGTCTACATCAAATGCGTATCCTAACTACCAGGACGTAAGCACAATACCTGGATGAATTGCGATGCACCCGAGTCATGGTCAATAGTGCTTTTGGCATTCAGCGCTTCATAACGCACCCCTTAATTGTAGCCTTGCCAGCGGTCTCCGGGTCCACTTTTATGTTAACAGAATCTCCAAGACCAGTAAAGCTTTCTATGGTAGTACCCATGCCGTTGGGTGGCTGGCGAGAACGAAACGACAAAACAAGAACTGAGACATGGACCGCTGTGACAGCAGGTGATGACATCAGGATGCACTTTGTAGTGTCTGTGCTTTCAGTTTCCTCCAGCCAATTAGCGGTGAGGTCACAGTGTCGTGCGGCCAAACAGCATAGAGGACAAGTTTCATACATATGGTTTCTTCCTGCTGTCCGCTGCGCCTCGTGCGATTACATTGCGTCGGTAGATTTCGCACACCAATCCTCTCATCCCCACATTGCCTTGATGATGTGAATATTTGAAAGATGCAGTCTTAGCAATGGAAAGCGAATCTTGACAAGGGTGTTGCAGACATCCCTAGCGAACGTTGTAATAGGTCCGGATTTGGAGACATGGGCATAGAAATAGCAGTCAATTCTGATGCAAGAGCTTATTATAACCAAATACACTGTAGAAAGGCTTCATAGGATTGTCATAATCCCGAAAGATGGGTTAAAGGTGAGTGACTAAGGAATAACTTTCAAATTTCGGAGCTCAGAGAACTTCATAGTGAAACTCATGCCTAATACACTCGCCCAGTGCCCGAACTTGCTCCCGCCCTGGCTGGCCAATGAGACTGGCTGTTACCAAGAAATATGCCACAAATGGCCACCGCCCAGATTGTTGGGGGTCTGGGATCGTTTCTCCTCTCTTTAGCAGGACCCGGTAATGTGGAATATGTGCCAGGAGCGAAGTTGGAATGGGCCTTGCTCCGGCAAAAGTACCACCTCGCGAGACGGGGACAAAGACGATATTTGTGGGATACTGAATGACATCGGGAAGAGGACAAATGAGTGTTTCCAAGGCATTGAGTGCGGGATCCGGAACATTCCCATTGCTGGGACTGTCAGGCAACTGACGCAGCGCAAGAAGAGTGTACAGTGCGTAGTAGTCGATGCCGTAGGTGTATTCGACGGCAAAAGTTTCCTGATGTCCAGGTGTACGCGGATTGATCTCAATGAGAAAAACGTTTGGCACTTGAGAGCCCAACAGAGGTCGCTCACTAAGTTCCATGGCCTGGCCCTGCATCTCATAGGCCATACGACTATGTTGCATGCGCGCCTCGACGTGGAACATGCCTGTCTTCAGACCTTGGCTTTTGAGACGCTCAGCTAACTTTGATTTGAGCAAAGCTAATTCAGATGTAGGAAGGCCTGAGGGCATTATGGTCGAAGTTTCGGCAAAGGAAGGTGATTGTGACAGGTCAGCACCAAGGTCAGCACCAGACGGAAAATCGTCATTGATTTCACTGAACGCAATACTGCCATCAACCAGGACAAAGTTTGCGTCAACTTCAGGTCCTGAAATATATGGCTCAATGAGGTGCTCCCGGTCCGGGAAATTTATGTGGTTCTTGTGCATCGCTTCCAGCAACTCCTGCTCAGTCTGCACCAGCATCACTCCTTCGGATGAAGAGCCCCGATCCGGCTTGATAATCAATGGGTAGCTCAGTGGAGTGGACAAAGCATTGAGCTTGTGCCGCAAGTCGGCCACATCCCTCGCGGATAAGACAGGCTGGTCAGGTTGCGAAAGCGCACGTAACTTGGACTTATTGCAACAGGCCTCGATACAGTGAGGGTGATTAGTCCAAAGACCCAGAAGTCGCGCTGCTTTGGCTGTAGAAACGAGAAGCCGGTCGGAGTACGTGATGATACCGTGTATGGGACCCCGGCTACGGGACACCGCGGCGACGATTCTATCCGGCAATTCGTCGCCGGGGGCGATGTCGCAGACAAGGAATTCGCCGCACAGATTCCGATTATTAGCGTTTTGAAGCCAATGGCCGTCGAAATCGAGAACAACCACCTCCACGCCTAGGGCGGAAGCAGCCCGATAGGGACCTTCAGACGCTGCAGATATAGTGGGGTGCGGACGACCTTCCACTATGGCCAAACGGTATTGTGGCAGTGGATTCGCAACTATCCATGGAAAGGACAATCTAAGCGTTGCTTCCAGCTCAAGTTGCATCAACGCACATTCAGCAAGTTGCTGGTTCGCTCCCGTATCGCGGGCAAGAAAGCCACCCAACGCTTGGTGGAGAGCAGCAGAGAACACGTCTGTGGCTCCATCGAATTTCGAAACGGGCTGTCGGGGCGATATAAATTCCGCAATCTCGCATGGAAGATCACATCCGAGGAACCGTCGTTGAATCAGGTCCTTGCGAAGAATGTACCCATCCACGTTTGGCAGTAGGAGCTTCAGGGCTGTCAATGACGAGCCCTTATTCTCAACGTGATTGATAATACACCTGCACAAAAATTCTTGAGCTAGGCAGTCACCTAGAATACGTGTTGCATTTCCATTGCTGTGGAATACTTCGAATATTTCGAGATCCTTTGTAAAGAGTGCGCCCGGCGTTTCGGGCTTCGGCCAAATAGACTCTGTGGTCAATAACAGATCGAAGGTTCGGAATGGCGCCTTGGTGCCCGTTGGGGCTGGATTCACTCTCCAATGACATCGAATAGATGCTGCAATAGAAATATTTCAGCTCTCTTGGTTGGTCCATCTTGTTTGAGTTATTACCTTTGCTTTCCGCAAGTTTGAGGGTGATAAGGCTGGAGTTCGCTGTTTCACACATAGCTGAGTATCTGCAGTGGACAGAAAATAGTTCAGAGTCTAAGGCCGCTAGCAAAGAGATGGAGGAACTTTTCCAGGAGCAGGAAAAAGACAATCGAGTAGGGCACAGGAGAGGACAAAAGAGAATGGCCTCTACACATTTTAATCTCGTAGTAATCCCACTTCTACATTCACCAAGCAAATCGTATAACTAATCAAAGTCCTACCACTTGAGGCAAATATAGAATAATCCAGACTGGTGTTCAGGATGCAACCTGCTCATAGGCTAATTATGCAAGGTTAGAGCACGTACTATATACTAGAGGACCCGTCACGTAAACTGTAATGCAGAAAACCGGACTCGGTAGAATACAAAGTACAGGGTACCAGCGCCCCAACAGTCAGGCCGCCCTCAGTCTAATGATCATCTGATCCGTCTCGTTCAATTAATATTTTTCTTTTCGTATGGGAAACCCATACAGGTGCAAAAATCGCTTTTTTCTAGACAAACTGAACAACAAACGGAGAGCTTCGGCCTAAATTTAAATAATGCCATAAAGAAAAGGATTCAATTCGTATTTCCCTATAGGAGAATTATATAGAATGGTCGGTAGTATATATACATAAATTTTGATAGGGGATTAAATATGAACGCAGACTACAACCACTTTTGGGAGAGAAAATTTAATTCCCAGAGTCAGTGGGTAAAATTATACTACATAGTAGGAGTACATTACAGTAGTAGGAGTTCAGATCGAATGAATTGATTTTGGACTGGTATGGAAACCCTTACGAAATGCAAATTGTCTACTACTAGACTAGGGCCCACTGCAGAGGCGGGTATACAAAATCATACCATCCCACTGTACTTATGCATGATCAGGGTAGTATCACATTCACTTCATCCACGCGCTAAGCGAGCCAGGGAAAAGACGGCTTGCTCCGCATTACTAGGGCGCATCCATGTGGATGAAAAAGAAGGCTGTGTAAGGAGAGGGGGGGCAATGAGCGAGGCAAGAGGAAGAAGACTAACGTAACCTGTAAGCGAGACGTTTTGGGTGGGCAGTGCAAGGCATGATGAAAATGTATATATATGTACACTCCAAGGCACTCTAAGTCGTTAGGCTCAGTCACTGACGCACGGAATTCGGCCGATTTTATTATTACTTGCATATCTTGCCAGCAGAATGGGCGCCAAAATCTTTATGTACGGGAAGCCAAAGCACTCAAGTCTTTCGATCCTTCGATGAAATTGCATTGTTGACCTGACTGTTCCAGCACTGCCGGCACGGGCTACGTTGGCGGCACTGTTCTCGACATTCTGGTTAAGCGCCATCCGGAATACAGCATCACCGCGCTCCTGCGCAACGTCCCTGACGATTTTGCCGCGCGCTATCCCAACGTTCGCATCGTTCGCGGTACCTTCGACGACGCACAGCTGATCGCCGACACCGCGGCTGAGAATGACATCGTCATTCGTAAGTACCTGGCCAGTCCCGCTTCCCTCAAAATCAATGTCTCCCGCTAAATGTATATTCTTAGATGGCGGGAAGCCGAAGCACCTCCCGAGCCTCGAAGCCCACATCGCTGGTCTCCTCCGCCGTTCTCAACCCGGACCCGGTTTCCTAATCCGCCTCGCCGGCACAGGCATCATCGCCGACTGGCAAAACGGACCTTACGCCGTGCTCAACCCTAAGGTTTGGTCCGACGTCGACGATATCGACAATATCACAAGTCTTCCCGATGACTACCTGCACCGGCCGGCCGACAAGATCTTGCAAGCGGCAGCCGCTCAGCACGGCGACAGACTCAAGACAGCTATCATCTGCCCGTCAGGAATCTACGGGCAGGGAAGGGGACCCGGCAACACCCGCAGCCTGCTCATACCAGAGATGTGCGAGAATATCATCGAGCTGGGGTATTCCTTCTACGCGCTGACGGGCGCGAATCGGAGGTCCTGGATCCATGTCGACGATGTTGCCAACGTATACCTCAAACTTGTGGAAGCTGCTGTTGCAGGGGGAGGAAATGCAGTGTGGGGGAAAGAGGTAAGCGACAAGCTTAGTCCTCCAGATAAAAGTGTACTGGGACTTTAACTGATATATTGATTGTCACACAGGGGTACTACTTCGCCACCAGCCAAGAACTGTCACAACTCGACCTGGCCCGGGAGGCTGGCAAGATCCTCCACACACATGGCCTGATTCCTACTAGCGAACCGAAGAGTTTGCCTGTCGATACTGTGAGAGAGATGCGGGGTGGCTCGAGCTGGGAGCCGATGGGAGTGTACACCTGGGCTTGTAACACGCGTGTGCGCGCAGATCGGGCGAGATCTCTCTTGGGTTATGCGCCAAGTGCACCCAGTGTGCAGAGCGCGTTAGAGGGTGATCTTCTAGATGCCGTCGAGCATGTGAAGCAGAATGGGCCAACGTATTGTCCAGGTCTTCGGCTTTAGGCAAGAGTCTAACCAAATGTCAAATATGGACTCATAATGTATTGTGCCCGCTTCTGAATTTCGACATCTAGTTCGGTGAGCCATTGGCCATGCTCGATCGAGCCTTGCGGAGGAGTTTCTGCCAGGCATCCCCATTGGATTCAAGTTAAGTCGGTATTTACATATCTTCTGAGTTATTATCTGAGTTATTATCTCGCTTTACCGGTCTGCTCATTGCGGAGACCGCAAATCATGTTAACCTGATTCATCTCTTTATGATAAACAAACGTAAGAGACTCGTCAATACACATGTTCTCAATGAAATATCGATCACCCCATAACATACTTGAACGACTCCCTGACCATCTCTGCTATCGTTTTAGCCTGAACCCGGTCCTCCACGCCATTCAGTTCGGCGACTGCTTAGAAATACGCCATGAACGGCTATTTCCCCTCCATATCGGGATCTCCACCACCTCACCTCTCTACGTGCAAACTAAACGCTCGGCAATGCATTACATCAATTGCTCGGATACTGGCACGACCTCAAGACCCACTCCCTTCGCGAGGGCGGCTTTCTCGGGTCCAAAACCCTAACCATCGGCGTCATAATCCTACATCTGCGACATCTATACGTTCCTAGCCATCTCCACATGAGCCTTGATGTCGCCCGCGGTGCCTACTGGCTACCAATCTTGTCCGCGGGGTTCTCGAGATCCCCCTGTTTACATGCTTCAGGTCCAACCCAACTAATGCACCCCAGTCTCCTAGAAGAATGCATAAAGCATCACAGGAGGGTAATTTAGAATTGTAGATGAAGAGGAATTCAATTATCCCATCTTAAACAAAGGAAATCCCCTCCCTGACCGGCGTTATAACTACATAGTGCCATTTTTAGTCGTCCTCTTCAAGCATCGCCTTAAGTATGAGCTCCATCAGGGTGTGGAAAGCGCTCTCAAGAACTACCTTATATACGCAGTCTTCGTTGAGTACGTTCTCCTCAATGGCATTAGTAAGGGCAACAGTTTACTGCACATAGGCCCAAGCAGTGCCTGCCATATCACAGCTCCTGTACGAATTCTCCTACAAATAAGCACTGTGTCTCAATACTCCTGCTCCCAGAGACCCTTGCAAAACTCTCTTGCAAACTGCGTTGTCCTGCTCAGCCTGCAGCTGGTGACAAATGCATGTGCTCTCCCTTCTGGGAATATCGAAATGTCATAAAGCTAGAAGGAAATACCTGTCAGGGTTGGGCACCAAAAGGAACTTTTACCGAATGAAAGTGAGCTTCGAATTCTCCAGTCCAGAACGACAGCCCGAACTGAAGCGAAAGTACAGTACAGTAATGAACGAATGGATCGGCTCATTTACGCTGACCCCTCGCATAGTTGATTTAACCACTAAACCAAAATACGAATCCGTACCCAGCCTAGTGGGTTGTGGTTTAGAAACCAACTCGCAAAGCGATATGCAGTCTACCACAACTAGATATATCAACGTACGTATATTGGTCGTCTACTACTCCCTAAACAAACTTAGAGCCTCGTCTGGGTCTACCGTGGCCTATTTGCCCCTATTGATGTTTTGCCCTCATGGCGCACGGCTTCGAAATCGCTGGGACGCCTCTGCGAAGCCCAGGACAGCCTGCACCATCTTAGCACGTGAAGCATTATTCCAAGGCTTGATTCTCCCTCCTTCTCCAGATCCCCTTAGTCGGTTTGATATACTGCTAAACGCTTCATCGACCTTCTCGCAGCGCTGGGCAATCTAGCAGAACGTGTATCACACTCTCCCGTTCCCCGCGGACGCACCTGTCGTCATCGCGGAAGCGGAAGGCCTTTGCATATGTTGGTGACTAGCAGTGTGCCGTTCGCAGTTGTGTTAGAAGATACGCTCGATTTCTTTTGGCAGAGATCCGTAGAGCCGCCTTGTGTATTTTGCCGGCAATGCGTTGTCGATCTTACGAAGGTGGCCGCCTTCCTTTGACTCTTTCAATTTTTTCTCCTATTATGTATGGATTTTTCTTTTGATGTGGGTCCTTTTGCGTGGTAGCGAGGGGGGAAATAGGCGGGATTTACTAGGTATAGCTGCTTATTTGGCTTTTTGGTCTGCGGTGCTATTCTTTGGTGCTCTGCAATATCCAGGTATTAACTATAGCCTGACTGCAATACTATGCGTCTTGTTTTTCTGGCTGCCTATAGAATAGCGTAAATGATTTGCTGCCCGGAATCTTTCCTAGAGCTCTAGATTGATTATGATACCAATATACTATTGGTTAGGATGGTGGTAGATCTTACCTATATACTAGTTGACCTCTAATATTAGAGGGCGATCTTGTTAATAATGTTAATATTGTATAGGATTCTGATTAGTTCGGCGGCAGGTATAGATCTTGTTTCTATAGGTCTGACCTACACCTATAGTTTCTTGGTATTTCTAGCGAGTTATAGAGTACCATAGCTACTACGGCTAAGCAACCTTGGCATTCTGATACATCAGAGTATACCAAAATATCTAAGTTAGACCGTACCGCCTCCGCCCGTTCTATTGAAATAATACTATCCTGTTTAATCTCAGTCTTTAAGACTAGCTCGGTCTGCTATAGCAGTAACAGAGTTAGGTTGATTACTTCTAGCTTATTAAGCCCCTCCATCTCTATTAGACTTGGGGCCTCCGCGAGCAAGAAATAGGCACATAACTAAATAATATTCCGTCGCCTTTAGGCTCTAAGCAAAGTATCCTATATAGGGTATTTCTGTGATGAGGTATAAAGTCTAGTATAAGTCATGCGAGTTGGAGCCTAAGGAAAGAAGATAGGCCTGGAAGGCCTAAGGCAAGACTGGTGATATTGTCTTCCTCTTCTGTTTCCCGTTCTTTCCTTTTCTCTTCTTTAGCTTTGATAACTTTGTAGAATCGGATTTTTTCTTTTCAAGAATTACTTGCCACGTCACTAGACCTTGCCAACTCCCATGGGACTAAGAAAATTTTGGTCCCATATCCTGGTCCCATCACTCCCATGAAACTACGCTAGGCCTATTTAGGTAATAGACTTACCTAAACAGGTAGTGATATTCGGTCTTGGCATTGATTTTGACCGCCAAGGACTTTCTCATGGGAGTGGGTCCATGGGAGTTGCAAGGTCTACGGTGACGTCACAATATAACAGCTTCGACATAGACCTCGCAAGGGCCATGGGCTTGTTTAGCCTGCCCATGGGCGGGCGGGCTATTTTCCTCACCGCCCATGGGCTGTAAAAAAAGCAATTATAGAAATGCTCGTGACTTGCATAACTTGCACGATTCTTCTTGTAATCTATTCTACTGTTTTATATGATATTAGTTAATCTGGCTTGAGGCTTTATTTACATATCTATATAGGATCTGAATCGTTAAATCATGATAATCTGTTAATTAAATAACTATTTTAAAAGTGCTTTGGGACCTCATATCCATCTAAAAGTCTTGAGCGTGTTCTTACTCTTTTAGAAGCTCGCTGTGTACCACTTTCACCAAGTAAACTATATCTATAGGAAGATCACCATCTTCACTATCAGGAAAAGGAGCAGCAGCAGCAGTAGCATCATGATCACTATCCTCATCGCCTTCTTCTACTTCCGTTCCAAGATCATCATCCCTTCCCCTCTTCTGAGAGGACCGCGGGGGTATTACTGGAACAATCAGTGAACTTGCGGAATTCTTGCTTAGTCAACCAGACCTCAGACTTCAGTCTATGATATATAGGCCCCTTAACATAGTGGCTTTTGTGACAATCTACTAGATATAGTATTTCTATTACCGTTTGTGATTGAAGATCAATCCTAAGAGTTTAATACTTATTAATAATTTGGTAATATTGCTATTCATAACAATCTGGCCTTGTAATATATTTTCCTGTTTCTGGTGATAGAAATGAGCTCGGTCGCCAAGCTGGAAACTATCCTCCGGGCCTATGTTTCGATACACAATATATCTTTAGATTAGATCTTAGCTAGATTCTCTTCGGCCGACCGGCAGACCCACCAGCGGAAATAATTGTCCATGAAAGCTAATAAACCATCATAGGAACCAACGGGTTAATCGACCAGATCATAGTTGAAAAACGTGAAGAGGATAAGTGATAAAGGTGAACCTTGTGTAAGTCCTATTTCGACTGACAGGAGTCCTACGCTGGAACGGCGTTCTTGCGGTGAGACCTTGGAGCGGCTCGCTTGGGATTTACGTTCTTACATTTCCTAAAACGGGAGTGCCCCTATCAATTCCCGTGTCCGAAGACTTATCGTGCAGGTTGGTACCTCAAACACTTACTACTTGATTCTGGGGGAGAAAAAAAAATCCGGGATGCTCTGATCTATTTAAGTTTCACCGCTCCGTGAGTCATCGTCATCATACCGTAATGCGTCATGGAATCGATGAATGACTCATTGAGTGTACACATTCAAATTATCGCACTGGAATTGAACCTTCATACTCACGGCAATTGCAATCGAAAATGGCGCCAGATCCATCTGTGCCTTTTGAAATAAAGTACGCCAATGCATCTGACCTGAGTGCACTCGTGAGCATTGAAATTCGCTCTTTTCCCTCGTCCAATTATATGCGCAGCACATACAAGGGATGTGATCCATTCGCAGTTCACATATTCAAAACAGTCTCTTCCCTCGAGTATTTCGCCAAATCCGAGTGCCATATTCTAGCGGGTGTCGACTCTGAAGCCGGTGATATTATCGCATACAGCCGCTGGAATATACCAGCTATTTACGAGTTCGAAAGAGCCGTGGACACAAGTCTGAGCAACGATGCGCAAGCGCAAATGCAGAATATGTGGGCGTATGCCCCAAAGTTGAACAAGGGTACCTACACGTTCTACGAGGAAATGATAAAGCGTAGTAGGAACATACATCTCAAGGAAACTGATATTGGTTCGTCAACCCATTTTGCCACTCTACATAAAATTTTACGATATTGACTGCTAAAAATACTGCTAGTCCTTGAACTACTATGCGTCTTACCAGAGTACCAAAGAATTGGAATAGGAAGTGCGTTTCTCAAATGGGGTATCCAGAAAGCAGACGCCAGTAACGCCCGGATATATCTGGAAGCTACGATGGAAGGAGTGCCAGCGTATTTGAAGCACGGGTGGAAGATCGTTGAGGAAATACAGCTGGATTACACGGAGCGTGGTGGAGAGGGAAGTCAGAAGTTCGCATTGATGATCAGAGAGCCCCAGGAAACAGGGGTTTGACATAAGCCTCTTTTCTCTTTGTGTATGTATCGCTTCGGTTATATATCTTTAGAGTCTCCCTGCATTCCGAGTCGATTTATTATATTATATAAGCCCAGATTCTGACCATTGCATAGTGACCTCCACGATCCGTATGATCTGAAGCTGATCGCTTTCGTAGTCCTTCTGGTATGCTGACTCGACACCGACGGCCATATTCGAGTTTCCGGAGCGAGTCTCGACGCACCCATTTACTTGGTCATTTATGAAATTCACTGCAGCCCAGTTTCCGGCGAGAGTAGCTATTTCCAGGGGCCCCTCTCCGTCGACCGTATGGAAATCCTTCCAAGACGCCAGTACTTCCACCACAGTTCTGTCTGCAATTCTTGCATCACGATCAAGCATCATTTTGAACATTTTTCCATCCCCGCCCAATGCCGCACAGAGCAATGCAGTCCATACACTGTGATCGCGGGTCTAAATATCCACGTACTTTGATTCCAACAGGAATCTGACAAGCTCGTGATCACCACTTATCATAGCCACGTGTAGAGCCATTTCAAATGACCGGTCTCATTCACTGCATTTTGGAAAAGATTGTAGGATTCGATGAGATATATCGAAAAGTGTGTGGTCTTTGCCTTTGCGGCTTGTCTGGACAAAACCTTAACGTCTCTGTGGTTCAAGATGACTAGCAGCCTATACCTCACGCAAAGCCGCTGTAGAAGCTGATCAAAATTTTGAGCTACTGGCAAAGATTCAAGGAGATGAAAGTTCCAGAACGATTTTGCATAGTCTCAAAACATCAGTTGACTGTGCAACTTGTGTTGCAGGCCTCGTGCCTCGGCAAAGGTCTTTCCTAGATTAAAATTAGGGTTGTTTTTGGAATTTTGGAACGTAGAAGTTTCAATATCAAACTACCCATATGGACTAGGGAGTCACTAGTCGAGTGAATGATTCCAGATAGGGCTGCACTAGGCTGTATATTAGGAACAACGTTAATACTTAGTTGATATTCAAATGCTAGAAAATGATGAGCTCTCAATGGACCTATAGAGAAGATTAGCGCTTTATGTTTTCACTCGGAGGTCGATCCACAACTGACTTCATTCGGGTGTTTAGTTTGGATGTTGTCAGCAGGCAATCCGAAATCATATTCTGTGATGAGGTCGATACTTACTCCGCCACACATTCAAGAGCTACCGCATTGCCGTCTCCAGGGAGCTGAGTCTGTTCGGATTTTTCCAAGTCCCTTCCATATCTACACTTCTTCCTCCGCTCCCGTGGAGCCTCGTCACTCTCGTCGGCTGAGTTGCTGTTTTCCTGATCGTCAGAGCAGTCGTTTTCGTCCCGCAAATCCTCGTCCTCTGTTGTATCGCCTGCCTCAGATGCCGATAGAGTGCTGGTTTTCTCAGACTCGGAGGACGACAAGGACAATGCACGTTGCAATCTGCTCCGAAAGTCTTGTCGTTGATGAGTGTGCGACACTTTTCGAATTCCACCCATACTTGCGTTTTAGTCACGAGGAGATGGCGAGTGTTCCTGATTCTGGTTGGGTGTACAGTAAAAGGAGAGGGCACACTGGCTTTAATAGATATTTGTATCGTGGAACCGGAATTGAGTGCCTTGCTTGCTTGCAATGGGGGTGCAAGGTCAACCAATTCCCACCCATACTTTCCACACCCGGAGCTTTATTTAGAATGAATCTTAGGCCATCACTCACTAAATGATCTTAGACCTTTCATCGTTGAGACCCTCATATTTTGCCCATAACTTCCACATTGTCGGTCAAACCAACGTTGACAGATAATTCATCTGAACGATAGATAAGAAGGCCAACGAATGTTGTACGAAAAAAGCCGGCCTAGAAGAACATGTTCCAACGAAGCGGTAGAACCATGCTGTGTAGCCAAGAAAGAAAGGCACCCAGCATTTTTCGTTTCAACGTCGCTGCTCAACAGCCACCTTCTTTCCAAGGGTGTAATAATAATATGAGGACATATTTGGACTGGCGAATGGTGAGGGTCTGAGACCAGCTCACCAGACTGAGCCATGGCTCATAATTAAACAATGGTCTTTTTTAATGCCACAGTAGGGTGTTCGTAGTTGACTGAGTATTGAAAAGATCTTTAAACTCAACAAACCAACGTTTTCTAGTTCACTTTGTACTGTTTTCTTCATCCGTTCTTACCACTTCTGCTACCTTCCCGAGCATCACCATGTCCCAACGTAGCGCAATGAACTGGCCGGAATGGGAGGAGAGAAATCTTCTCTCTTGGCTGGATGCCCATCGAGAGCTGTCGTGGAAAGCCCGCTCCGACGCATATTATGAAGAACACCGGGTGGCCCGAAGCGCTGAGTCTCTACGGGGGAAGAAGTATCATGTTCTGCGAAAGTGCCGTCGCACTGGCGCCAGGTCTTCTGATCATAGAGGCAATCAAAAACAATCAGAAGGCGCTCTTCAATCAACCGGCCGTAGGGCTTCATTGGCGGCCCTCCCAAACAGAATTTCTGCCAAAAGTAACATTGGCAAATGGTTTGAAACAACCCTCACGGCCGAGGCGAGCCAGACCGACAGCAATGGATCAAGTCGAACAGAAAGCTCCAGACTAGGCACGAAATACATTTCCTGTTATCACTTGTTATCATTTACTCATTACAAGCTGATCCTCTGTCACAGGTCGCGCGACGCGAGTATCAATTCTGTGTTGGCCTAACGAAACTCGATCGTCATCTTGGATGTGGGACTATGTGCATCGTGTTTGTGCAGCCAGGAAGCTTAAATAGCAGTGAATAGAACGCTCATGCTAGTAGCAGTTTGTTGTCATGGGGTTTACGTCGTGAGATCGAAGCAACAGTGGTCAACTACCTCGATAACTAGTCCTGGTGCACATTACTATAACAAACGCCTGTGATGACTCCGCAAGAAAGCGGCAGCATGAAGAATCTCGTCGTGGCTGTACATATTCCCCCATATAATTATAAAAACAAGAGAAATCATCCTTCCTCGGAATTTTAACACCATTGGAGGCCTCCCAGATGTCAAACGTTGTGAAATAGAGCAATGTTCTCGTGCCCTTGAAACACAGCCGTCTACAGTGCTGTTATGGATCAGCTATACATGCACGTTCTTTCTTCTTGTCTCTAATCCAGGAGAATGTCATCGGAGTCCCATGCGGTCTAGAAAATACTGCGGGCAGTGTATAAAGACTCACAGACCTATGAGTGTCCTCGGAACGAGATCAGGTCATGGTAGCAAAGGGGCTCTCCGGAAATTACAAAATTCACTTAATTCTTGTCAGCTCGAGGTAATATCTTTGGTTCCATTTTCAAATGGATTCGGTTAGGTCGGGGTCGAAAGCAGAGTGACTCGTAGAGTAGAATCTGAGGCATACGATTTATCTTCGATCCACTCCCTAGTCATGTTTGACGAGAAGCAAAGGTTTTCCCGAGTCAGCCCAAGACTGGCAGATTCAAGTCATGGGGAAAAATTGTTTCACACAGACCGTGGAATCATGAGCGGGACCGTCGATCAGTAGTCGAATCCCGAATCAAATCGACAACAGAGTTTTGAAAACCATGGAAACGCTCGCTCGGTGAGAGAAATCGGTTGTCAGAAGGATTCAAGCTTGAACTTAATCGAAAGCTTATCTATAGGCATCTGCTCCACTGGCGTGTTGGATTCCCGTGATTAAATCTGTCCCAGAGTCCGAGAATTCAGAGGGAAAATCGGGTACTCTCTCCAAGATCCCACGCAGGCGAAGTATAGTATATTGTAGAAGGAAACAACATTATTCGTAAATATTCTCGGTCGCCAGAGTAATGGTCAAGATGCACTGGGTGCTTGAAATAAACTTTGTGGGTCGGCCCGGACCAATCGATTTCTCGGTCTCTAGTGCACAAACCGGAGACTTTGTTTAAATCTACGATCTTGTTCTTACACAATTGACATTGATTTCAAAAACTATCTGCTAGAATTAGCAGACTGGCCATCGAGTTGGAGCAGATAGGGAGAGGATGGGTCGGGCTCAAAGAGAGTATACTTTCTGCGAGGAAGGTGCAGGACAGAAGGTATAGCTGCTAGAACGTTCCATAGGCCAGATAGAGAAAGCAGCAGCTTCCCACTCTACGGAGGACCAATCACTCTCTTGCGAGGGCAACTGAACCGCGGATCAGATCTCTGTTGCCAAAACTCTGTGTGATATTCCAAATACCCTCCTGCCCCAGCAATACCTCCTAAGCAACAAGTCCTGTTCCATCAGGCACTGACGGCCGTCGGGTTTGGGTTTGTGGATCGTGTCTGGACCCTTGCAGATCCTTCCGATTTCTTCTGTGGGCCACAAATAGAACCTCCGTGATCTACTGTCCCGTGGGTCGTCCCTGGGATCTGCGTCGCGGAACCGTACCTGCGTCTGTCTAAATTCACGCGCGGTGTTTGATTGGTCCGTTGGGTGCTATTTGTCCAGGGCCTCGTAAATGTGACATTGCAATCTCGCGAGGAATCTCGCGAGGTGGGTGGCGATCACGAGGACCTAGCTCGTGAACCATGGTAGCTAAAATAACTCACTTTATTGTCCTGGAAACTGGACTCGGGTTTATTCTAGGTTTCCAACAAGGTCTAGAATTTGATTCTCTATCAAAGGAAAACAACGGATACCCTGGATTTGGGAGTACGTGCATAGTGTCTGTACCGACAGTTAGCAGAAGTATTAGGGGAGGCAACATCAGTTGGTTGCGAGCAACACAGAAAAGTACCGTTCGAGTAGCGCGAGGCTAGAAATAGGCAAAGAGGATTGTAGTGGGATCAATGGGAGGCACGTCTTATGGCCAACCACGGGTACAATCGAATGTGACTGTCTGCCAGAGTCTCTAACCCATTATTGCGGCATCTGTTGAAGCACCTCAACCTTCATGAAAGAGACGGTGAACGTGGCTAGAACGGGCAGATGTAGAGTGCCACCGCGTTGAGCGATTTAGTTGCAATTTCAATGATATGAGAATCATTTTTTTACGGTATCACTGTCTTTTCAACAGTTGATGAAGTGGTTAATCACACTCAACGCAGGGTTTTGAAAGGAATGAATCTAGGTTGAAACTTGACCCTGTAGGCCACAAAGTCTCCAAAGACCATTGCAACGACGTTTAACTCGCTTCAACGCCTATCAACGAGACAGTGATTCTCGCTACCAACTGCGCAACTGGTTTCTTGGTCGAGACGTAGCCGAAAAATTATAAAAGGAGCCGGATTCCCAGCCAAAAAAAAATCAGGACTTCGGTCCTCACACTCCGATGTGTCATGGTGTCCCTCTTGCTTACGGGCTTGAGCGTCTCCGTGGCCACGGCTGTCGCTGCTCCGAGCCCAGCGATGTAAGACATGTGCTCCCTCGCTGCCCCGAGCCCCGCGAGTGTAAAAATGTGCTCCCTCGCTGCCCTGAGCCCCGCGAGCGTAAAAAGGTGCTTCGCAGGACGAGCTCTGCGTCAACAAATATGCTTCGCAGGGGATTGCTGCGTGAACAAGGCCTCTAGCGATGTGCAGGCACCTCTCCGTGGTGCTAGGGACCAGTATTCGAGTATTCAAGAGTACTCGAAGAAGCCAAGATCTGCGCAACATCTTGATGATGTATTTCGTATTTCGAAGGATCATCATTGGAGAAATAAAATGAGCCCTAGATAGAAGCAAACCAATATCGGAATCGTAAGTTCAAGATTCAACCTTCGTTATCGCCCGCCGTGTTCCCAACCCTCCTGTCTTCATGGTTTGCGGTCGGCTAGTCTTCCCGCCGCAATAGGATGCATTTGCCATCAGGGCGTAGAGCGAATAGAGGCGTGTTTTTGTGAGTCGCGAGTGTTGATGAGGGTGTGTGTTGATGAGGGTGTGTGTTGATGAGGGTGTGTGTTGATGAGGGTGTGTGTTGATGAGGGTGTGTGTTGATGAGGGTGTGTGTTGATGAGGGTGTGTGTTGATGAGGGTGTGTGTTGATGAGGGTGTGTGTTGATGAGGGTGTGTGTTGATGAGGGTGTGTGTTGATGAGGGTGTGTGTTGATGAGCGTTGATGATCGTTGATGGTCGTTGATGGTCGTTGATGAACGTTGATGAACGTTGGCGAGGGTGTTGACGAGGGTGTTGATGAGCGTTGATGGTCGTTGATGAACGTTGATGAACGTTGACGAGGGTGTTGATGTGTGTTGTGGTGGTGTTGAAATATCCCGGTTACTGAGATGATAATGAGGCTGGGATCACGTGCATACATATATACCTGTTCACCAGCCTACTTGTATCTTAGACAACATGCAACAATAACACACAATCAACTCCCCTCAATAACATGAATACCGAAGCATCACTTATCAATCAACAGGTTATGAGCCCGGCACTGCTCACCTCAAATTGGACAATACTTCCTACTCCTAAGTTTCCCCATCAAGTGAAAGCTTCATGTATTGACTGAACTGGAATTGTTCATTTAGTTATTCAACGGAGAGGACATTTTTTCTGAGGATCAACAGGAAATCAAATTGTGCGGAATCGCCTCCCAAATTTGACGAAGTCACCAGACCGCTACAGACAGTCGTCAGACCAATCATAGTCTACAGCTATGTTTCACAACAGACAACAGACGTACCACACCGCCACAGACGTACCACACCGCTACAGACATATCATATCAACACAGATACATAAAACAACCTGCCCTCTGTAGCATGCTGATCCACCCGTTTTCCCCCAAAAGAAATCCGGATCTTCTCCAAAAAGGGGCAATCTGCCATTCTGATCTATGACAAAAAGATCGTGTAAGGGACATAAATGGACTAACGAGGAGCTCAATTTTGTATGCTATTTTCGATGCATCCGCCATTGGAACTTCTCGCAAATCCAACAGGCGAACTTTCCATTGCTTTCCCAACACGCAATCGGTGCGGCCTACAGGCGTTTACCTCCGAAAGAGCGCTCACGCAGGGCGCTCGCTGTGGCACCTGTCATTGCCAAATCCCGGCATATCACAGGACGCAACTCCCAACGTCAAGCTCAATCTGAATTCTCCAAACCGGAACAGCGACCGAGCCATCTCAACTCAACAAACACCGAGATTGGACATGCAACCTTGACCTTTAACGGCATTAAATCAAATCGATACAATCTCCGTCCAAACAGACCCACAATCTTTGCAGAGCGAAAACCACGATATATGGTTGACCGCGTCCGATTCCCTCACTTCTTCGAATCTTATAGCAACCATCTCAAGCCATACGACCTACCCGACAGTGAATACGTCCCTCCATCGCATACACCTACCCCAAGCTCGTCGGAGTATTCCCACTCCATCAATTCTAGTCAACCGAGCGAGGCCTCGAGCTTAGACCTATTTGGTCTGGAGCCTCGATCTCCTGAACCATCAAACCACACTCCTTCTGTCCACTCAATTCGCTCAAGTAGCTCGTCAAGTGCCGAATTCTTTAGCACCGAAGAGCCCTGATCTTCGCACGATGGATTCGGCTAAATTCGAACAAATTGGCTTGAGCTCATTCTACCATGCCATACCAATTCTCGATAATGCCAACGACTGGTCGCAGTGGAACCAGAAAGTCAAGGAGTTCCTTCGAATATCTCCCTACACTCCTTTCCCACGTACACGAAGAAGCTAGAAGATCTAAGACGACAGGTCAAACGTGCACGACGATGGGCAAGAGAGACCGGAAGCGATGAGGACCAGGAGCGGTTCCGACAGATGCGCCACGAACTTGGCCGCCAGAGTGCGAAGGTCGCCAATGAAGCACATCGGGAACGAGTAGAAGCAGCGACCAAGTCAATCGACGACTTCTGGAAGCTATCGAGATGGGCCAGGAACACTACCCCGCGGGCGACCCACACTGCGACGCGACCCACACTCCGACATTGCGTGCAGGGGACAGGGAGTATGTGACGGCAGAGGAGAAGGCATAAATCCTCCGCGACGTCCTATTCCCTCCTGCACCCACCGCGGACTTATCAGACCTCGAGGGATACGACTACCCTGCTGCAGTCAATGCACCACTAATCACCTCCGAAGAAGTCATGCACGCTATACAGAGATCTGCATCGTACAAGGCCCCGGGGCCAGACGGGATCCCGAATGCTGCATTGAAGAAGGCTATCGAGATACCAAACATCATGTTTCTGACACATCTGTTCAACGAATGTCTGCGGCTAGGGTACTGCGCTAGTCATTTCCGCGAGTCCACTACTGTCATTCTCAGGAAACCTGGGAAATCGGACTATACCATACCAAAGGCCTACAGACCGAGCACTCTGCTGAGCACGCTGGGTTAAGCGCTCGAGTCAGTACTCGCCACTCGACTGGGCTACCTCGTCGAGGCCCACGCACTCCTACCAGATACTCACGTCGGTGGAAGAGTCGGAAGGTCATGCGATCATGCTCTCCACTTCCTCTTAGAGCGAGTGTACGAGTCCTGGAGGCAGGATGAGCACGTCGCTACACTGCTCACACTTGACGTGACCGGCGCGTTCGATCATGTGGCGCATGAGAGGTTGGCCCACTGCCTAAGGAAGCGGAGGAATCGAAGGAGATGGTCCGGTGGATCCTCAGCTTTCTGAGAGACCGCTCAACAACGCTGGTTCTACAAGAAGGCTCGATGGGCACACACCCGGTGGCCACGGGTATCCCACAGGGCTCACCCCTATCACCAATCCTCTACCTCTTCTACAATGCAGACCTCATCGACGAGCTTCACGCTGCCGCTGCCGGAAAAGCTCTTGTGACCGGATACATCGATGATATCTGTATCCTGGTGTGGAGTAAATCTGCGTTAGACAACTGTCAGCTCCTGGAGAGGCTGCATCAAGTCGCAGATGCCTGGGCCAGTCGCCATGCCTCGCGCTTCGCACCCGCAAAGTACGGATTAATGCACATGTGGAAGAAAGGCTGGAGCGCTCGGAGGGTAAGTCGACCGCCGTCCGGCGAGAGCATCACCCTCCAAGGCGTTGAAGTCAGGCCCACCTCGTCACTCAAATACCTCGGCATCATGCTGGATGAGCACCTCACAGGAGAAAGCCAAATTGCACAGTGTCGTAAGAAGGCTGCACAGCTGATTGCCGCGCTACGGTCAATCGTAGGGATGACATGGGGGGTCTCGACCCTACACCTTCGCCGCATGTGGACAGCAGTCCTACTTCCTCAGATCTCATTCGCCTGCTCCGCGTGGTATACACAAGGAGCGTACGGCTCTAAATCGTTCGAGGACCGAGCAAATAGCACCTTCCGGTCGATGCAACGGCAAGTTCTCCAGTATATCGCAGGCGCTTTCAGGACGACTGCCGGGCCCGCCCTGGAAGTATGCCTCTTCGTCCCACCGGCAACAATCGCCATACAACGCCTCGCGGAAGAGGCCTGTCTTCGCATACACGCATCACCTCTTATGTCCACACTCGCTAGACGAAGCGACGAAGGACGACGATACGGACTGACATCGCCACTCAAACGACTGGAGACACATCTTAAGTTCAAGTGAATCGAAGTCAATAGGTTGGAGCTGATCCGGCCGTTCGCGGTTCCCCCGTGGTGGCAACCGCCAGAGACCCGGATAGCTCCAGATAAGGACACCGCCATCAAAGAACATGATCTGATTCTTCTGGCGACGCCTCTCTACGGGCCGAACTCGGCGATCGCCTACACAGATGGGAGCAAAACAGAGGGTGGGGGCGTCGGCGCCTCGGCAGTCACATCCAAAGGGAACGCAACCGCCAGGCTTGACGATCAGGATACGGTCTACGCGGCTGAACCCAAGGGCATCCTACTCGCACCCAGCGAGATTAAAGATGACCTGGTGAGAGAGCTCGTCGCTACTGCGACAGCCCCGGCCCGCACAATGACCATATTCACGGACAACCAGGCCGCCATCCAAGCATGTTCCCATCCACGACGCAGCTCTGGGCAGCAGATTCTCCGCAACATCACCATCCAGATAGAGAACCTACGGCTAGCGGCCTGGCGCATCCGCATCCACTGGATCCCCGGTCACATGGGAGTACATGGAAACGAGCGCGCTGACGTTCTAGCAAAGCTTGCAGCAAGCACATACGGGCCCGCTGAGGCGGTCATCCTCTTGTCCGGCTGCCGCACTAGGCTCCGCGAGCGAGCTGCGAAACGGTGGAAGGACGAGTGGGCGTCAAGCCACAGCGGCGCTCATCTCCGCGCACTTTTCCATGAACCCACGAAAGAGATCTTCGCGATACACGAGTCTCTGAGACGTGCAGCCAGCTCAGTACTGATACATATGCAGACCGGTAAGATTGGTCTCCCCGCTTACCTCGCTACTCTCCCGCAGTGGAGGGAACAGGCTCTCGAAGATAACCCATCGCGGTGCACGTGTGACCAGGGCACCATGAACACGCAGCACATCCTCTTCTCCTGTCCCCGTTTCACCGAACTCCGTCACCGAATCCTTGGACTCGACTGAGAAGGTAGGACCAAGGGTGGCCACGGCCCCTGGAAAGAATGGCTCTCGAAGCCATCATTAGCAGTCAAAGCAGTCAACTTTATGATGCAAACTAAGCTCCTCGGCCAATTCAGGAGCCTACCGACCACCTACCGAGTCAGTAGCAAAGTAGACTCGTGACCCTGGGATCTTAGATCCTCTCGCTTGCCCCAGTTTTGGGCCACCAGTACTACAGTGATTACCCCCCTGCGTCACTGACCACCTTCGCGGCTTGCCGCGTGACTTGCTGGACATTTCGAGCTTCGGTTCCGTAGGGATGAAAGCGATTGACTAAAGACGGGGATGGCGGTTTCCGCCCTGTTTCCTTGGCTATAAATGCCATCTCTACGCCGCCGGGCTGTTCATGTGACAATCAGCTGTGGTATGTGGAGCATGGCTAGAGGTGAGGTTGAGATTGAGGAAAAGTGACGAACTGAGGGAGTGGTCAAATACCACTAGGACCCTTCGGGACAGGCTTATTCATCGTTCACCCAATTCCCCCTAGTATTTGTACGGTATTCCGGGCACATTCGGAAGTACGGTGTTGTAACACGCCGAAGCTTATTTGTATAGTCCCCTGAGATCGTTCAACCGATCTTAAGACCTTCAATCAATCACCTGATTCTATTGGACACGTTCAGTACTAGCCAGTACATCAATTCCTCATCCTGACAAAAAGTAGTGTGGGGTAGCCTCGGAACAGTGGAGAAAATAGTCATCATCATGTGATATAGTTGCCCCGGCTATCTTGTAGTTCCCTGCCGGCAAATCGGGCCTCACCGCCTGACAGATCCGCGGATGAAAATTACTTACTTACTTACTTAGAATCACTGTCTCGTTGATAGGCGTTGAAGTGATTTAAACGATGTTGAAATGGTGTTTTGGAGACTTTGTGGTTGACAGATGCAAGCCTCGAGTGTACTCGCGGAATCATTCCTGTTGAACTCTTACGTTGAGGGGTGAAAACACTTTTATCGATTGTTGAGAAGAGGTAATGCCGCAAAGATATGATTCCTACATATCATCGAATTTGCAATTAAATCGCTCAACGCGCTTGCACTCTACATCAGCCGTTTTTCGCCACGGTCACCGTCTCGTCAATCAGGGTTGAAGTGCTTCAACGGACGTTGAAATGGTGTTTTGGAGACTTTGTGGCGGACAGCCACGCTCGATTGTACCTGTGGTTGGCTTGTTTCGCCAAGTGCCACCCCTTGTACTCGCTAGAATCAATCATGTCCATCCCATAGCCCCGCGCTGCTCGAATGGTGCTTCTTTCCTGTGTTTGCTCGCAGCCAATTAATGTTGCCTTTACTAGAATTTCTGCTACATATCAGAATGATAATATCAAGCTCTCTGTCTTTCAATCCAACCCTCAAATTTGCAAGCTGGATTGATCCTCTATCCCTGACACCTCGTTACCGACAATTTGAAACTATACGGTGAAATTATACCAAGTGGAAAAGAGACATTGCATTGCACGAGCAAATCACCGTCAATATACAAAGTTATCCCTTCGTGCCAGACTATTTCAATGTCTCCACGTCAAGGCGGCCTCCTTAGGCCTGTTTGAACATCCTATCCAGCGGCGGCCTTGCCGCTAGCAACGCCTGCACCACCTCAGTGTGACCTCCTTTTCGCGCTGCCTCGAGAGCTGTTATGCCATCACGTTCAGCGGGAGATGCGTTAACATCTGCTTTTGCTGCTAGAAGTGTTTGCACCACGTCAAGGTGACCTCCACTTGCGGCCGCTTGGAGGGCTGTTTGGCCACCAAATTGAAAAGGAGGTGCGTTGACGTCTGCTTTTGCTGCTAGAAGTGTTTGCACCACCTCAAGGTGGCCTTCTCGTGCGGCCACTTGGAGGGCTGTCTGGCCACCAAATTTAATAGCAAGTGCGTTGACATCTGCTTTTGCTAGTAGAAGTGCCTTCACCACTTCAAGGTAACCTCTTCCTGCTGCCGCATGAAGAGCTGTTTTACCAGCATGTGTCGCGGGATATGCGTTGACATTTTCTTTTTCTGCTAGAAGTGCCTGTATCACTTTAAGGTGACCTCCTTCTGCTGCCGCTTGGAGAGCTGTCCGGCCATCATAGCTAGCAGGCGCGTTGACGTCTGCTTTTGCTGCTAGAAGTGTTTGCACCACATCAAGGTGGCCTCCTCCTGCAGCCGCTTGGAGAGCTGTTTGACTAGTAGAAGATGCGTTGACATCTGCTTTTGCTGCTAGAAGTGTTTGCACCACGTCAAGGTGGCCTCCTCCTGCAGCCGCTTGGAGAGCTGTCTGGCCACCTCTAGTAACAGATGCGTTGACATCTGCTTTTGCTACTAGAAGTGTTTGCACCACATCAAGGTGACCTCCACTTGCGGCCGCTTGGAGGGCTGTTTGACTAGTAGAAGATGCGTTGACATCTGCTTTTGCTGCTAGCAGTGCCTGCACCATTTCAAGGTGACCTTCTCCTGCTGCTGCTTGGAGAGCTGTTCTGCTATTTACTTGAGTCTTGATGTCAACCCCTGCTTGGAGCAATACTGCTAGGGAACGAGTGCATCCATCTAGCGCAGCATATAACAATGCATGATTCAAGATGTTGTCGGTATTGTCAAGGCGGACGAGTGCCTCGGTGTATCGATAACGATTGTGAATGTCAGCGCTGCGAAGGATCTCATCCTTCACATTCTCCGTCAAATGGCGAGACTGATGTTTTGCGTAGTATGAAAGTAATGCGGAATGTCCATGGGTCAATAACCATTGCATAGCCTCTGGTATACCCTTTCTCTTGCTGTCGGTCTGCTGCTCCGACTCCCATGGTCTGTATGCAAGAACATCATCGCCTTCTATGCACCGGCAAAACAATCCCCACATATTACTGTTCATATCCGGAGTCAAATCAGTCAAATGATTGAGCCAGTAAGCCCTGGCGTAATTGAGAAACTGAAACTCTTTCTTTTGGAGTTCCAGCTCCAGTTTGGAAGAACTTCCGTCTTCAAATATTGCTTGCGCCGTCCTCTCTACCTCTCGAGTGCTGAAATGTTGTAGCTGGATATGACCGGAAAGAAGCTTTCGGGCCATCTGGCTGGTAGCACTCCTAGCAGAGCGGATGGGTAGAGTACTAGTACCGAGCTGAAGAGGCTGGATAGGAGTACCGGAACCATTCTTGACTTTCGTTAACTGATGCTTGAAGTTGGTGAAATCCAGATACGTCATGCAAAGGAATCCAAGATGCCGGTCGACGCTCGCCGTGTCGAATTGCGCTGTGTGTGGACCGTTCGTGATAAAAAGACATTCTCTCACACTACGATGAACATAGTGTATAGTGTCTTCCTCTTCATCAACGAATGTGAATCCGTAACAATCATTGATGATCCTATCCATGTCGTTCGGTACCTTTCCGCGGTCAAGGGCCTTTTGCTCGAGGGAAAGACTAAGGGCTTCTCGATATTCCATAACTGTTAATGGCCGCTTCACTGCCCCGCAATATTGTAGGAGTTTCATTGCCTGTCCGGCCGCCCTTCCCTCTCGAACACGACGAAGTTTTCGATCATAGAGCTCAGCCAAGCTATGTGGAAGATTTTTCAGTGCTTCCAGGATGTCGTGATCACAATTCTGTGCGCAAAGCTCTTCAATGCAAAGACTTGCCCAAAGGAACCTATGTTTTTTTGAGTCTGTTAGCAATGCATTTAGAGTTTCGTAGCCGTATATCTAATCCTGACAAAGGAGCCTTCGATCAGGCGGCGTTAACACTTACATTCCGTCAGCTTTGTCCCTTAAAGTGTTGCGTATCTCTGTTATAATTGTTGGATCCCCAAGAGTCAAACTCCCATCATCCAGACACTCATCCAAAGTGTTGATAATATAGTGATACATGTCCGACTTGACCTTGTTTTCATTCACCATGATCCTATACTGCGGTACGGTCGATTTGAACCGTTTTTCAAGACCAGGTCGGCCCGCGCAGAGGACTTTGAAGCCAATATAGTTGCTGCAGAGCTCAACTATAGCCTGTGCCACCGCTTGAACCTGCTTGTCGTCACATTCGTCCAGTCCGTCCAGGATAACATAGTACTTCTTACCCTTACCGGCCTCCAGATGAGATAACAGGAACTGAACGACCTCAGTGGTGCCAAGACCCCGGGTGGTCTTCTGTAAGGAGAGTAGAGTTTCAAATTCGCTTTGCTCAATCTGAGTATTGAGGATTTGACGAGCAAGACTTCCAAAAATGCTCCTCGCAGATAAAGATGTCTCATTGTCGACGCGACAGAAGTAGTAGGATAAGATCTCATTGCTTTTGCGGGCCACACGTAACCGTAACTGATCCACCACCTTAGACATAAGCACTGTCTTGCCCATGCCTATAGTGCCTAGACACCAGAGTATTGCGGTTTGCGGATCTTCCTTCCACTTATCAAAGACCAACTCCTTGCGAAGCCACTCAGCCGTGGTTGGAACCCGTCGATTCAAGGCCTGCTTCCAAGGACGGTCATGGTCGATAGGAGAAAGGTTGTTTCGAATGCTTGTCTTCAATTTTGCCATTTCGTTTCTTTTTAATTTCATTCGCCACTCGCTTGCCTCGGCTTGTTGTTTCAGTGATTTTTGGTAGAACTTTCGGGCCAAAGGTCGGAATTCTGAATTCTGTTGACTTTCATATTCTAGTAGCTTTTTCGCTTCCTGGTCTGCTTGCTTTGATGCGAGTGATACCTCCAGGTCTATCTTATGTGTAGCTTCTTCTAGCAGATCTAGGAATGGCTTAAACTCGGATTCAAAGGGACCTCGTATCGACGAAAGAATTTGTTTGAGGGCGGTTCGACGGGAGACTTCGATAATCTTGACACATAGATTAATGATGATGGCGTAGAAATCACAAAGGGCACGTTGAAGGCCAATACAGCCGAGATAGAGTAGGCCAAACTTTTGATATGTCGGAGAATATTTGCCGATGCGCATAATCATGCTCGTGACTTTGTCAAAGTAAGAGGCCACATTGCTCGCCGTCAATATAGCAGTCTTTACACCTCCCCAGACGAGGGCGGCGATTATCGGATTAGAGCTAACAAATGTGTCCACGATACCGGTGAACTGTTGCGCTGCGTCTAAGAAGGTACATAGCCGTGGAGCCATGGGCGTCCTCATTCTGCTATTTCTAGCATCGATTTCTGCGACAAACTCTATGACGCTCGCAATATCTGGTGTCGTGGTGCTTTTTTGGAACTCTCGTTTTTGCTCCTCTGTCAATGTATTCTGAAAATTCTCCAATGCTGCATTGAGGGATTGCGTAGGGTCTGCCCCTTGCGCTCCTGCTCTTGGGAGCAGTTCAAGGGCCATCAGACTGTTCCTGATACACAAGGTATTCTTTTTGTCGAAAGCGCTTCACAACAGTCCATGGGCAATCCCATATATTTTGTCGTTGCATAGCCTCTGTGAAGGGTAATGGGCGGGGTTAATGAATTATGGACAAAAGCTGAGCCTGATCCCTCACAAGTCATATTGACCAATTAGGGCCAGCCACATCAGTGAACACGTCACGTGTCTAGTCAGGCCTTGTCCCTCCAACTCTCCCTGCCTCCCCCGCTATTGGTTTGGTTCTTCGCAAGCACGATCTCTTGTAAAGATCAAAGAGATTTTTCCCCGGCCGCAGCTTAATTGATCTCGGTCTCCTTTTCAACTTCTGCGCACACAATTTCTCCTGTGCGCAAATATAATACCTAGCTATTCCGGAATACAGTTTGTTCTGCAGCACAGTGAAGGCCAAATTCCCCTGGTTCACTTCAAATCTCCCACCCGCCACCATATTGGGCAAATGCTTGTTTGAAAACCTCTGGGTCCCTCATTGGCGGCTACCTCCAGAACACAACTCCAGCTGCTGAAACGCTTCCTCTACGTTGATTATGCCAGCAGGTATCGACTGGCTCAGCCCAGAACTCGTCACAATCACAGCCGAGCATCTTGAATGCGACGATCTTTTCAATTTTCGACTAAGCACTCGATATTTGAGGGACAGTTCTCTTAGAAGTTTCATCAATCGCTTCTTTCGGAGGAGAGTTCATCTTCTAAGTCAACATAGCCTTTTGACATTGCTAGATATTTCACGCCATCCATTATTTGGCCCCTTGATCCACACTGTGGTAATATCTGGCGATCATTTAAGACAAGGTCGACTTGATGATGAACTCTATTCTTTACCATACTGGGATTGTGCTAGCGATTCTCAGGGCGCTAAAAAAAGAAAAAAGTATCAAATACGCATTGATGAGCAAAACCATTTTCAATCGACGGATCTGGATACGGCATATCTGAACCAAATTCTTCGAAATACGATCAATTGCCGGAGTGTTTTTCTTGATGATCGGAATCGGCCCTGGGGGGCTGCTTTTATCAAGAGAGAAACTGGACACTATCCATCCTCGAGTATAGAAAGTAATTACAGTAAAAATTACTTCATAAAAGCGGTTTATACCGTTCTCGCCGCTGTGACTGTGAGCGAAATTCCGATCACAACCTTTGCTATCACTAATGGAAACGAACGAGCGCACGTGCACCCCAAATTGCTCTTGTTTCCCGCATCCTACCTAGAACACGTTCCATGGGCTGCTACACTCACTATGTTACAGCTAATATTGGATCCCGGTTACGAAGATGTGCCGCAAATTTGGTCGAAGCCACTCGGAGATTTCATTATGCTTTTTCCGCAACTAGAATGCCTTGACTTATATTTCGATACCCGAGTGGAGCAGCCGAGCTTCAATGCCCTCAGCCAAGTCATAAATTCACCCCGTCTTCGGATCTTGAAGCTTGCTGGTGTTGATTGTATACCGGAAGATATGTTAAAAATAATTGGCAACCATCGAAGTACTCTTCGAGAAGTTGTTTTGGATATCGTTGGTATTAGCAGCAGGACAGGAGGCTCGTGGGAAACACTGCTGGCTGAAATCCGCGATCGATTCCACTTGACGAGATTTAAAATGATGCAATGTGACGCCGATGGAGACGATATATGTTTTGAAGAGCACAATGTTGACCGATCATACGTTATTGATGTGATTGGTGATAACCCTCGACTTCTGGATAGTTTAATCAACGGAATTAAGAAATAGCGTACAAGCCCCGAGGCGAGGGCCTTTGTCATTGACGCTGTTTGAGCGAATAACAATTGAAATCTCTTTTTAATTAAAGGTAAAGTTAAGAAAATATCACCTTCATAGAAACTATTCTACAAAAATAGAAAATTCAGTCGACACACCAGCCAGTCCTGGATCTATATTTACCCTTAGATCGTCCACACTATTCGATCTTGTGCAGTCCAAGTGGCGTAGCAAAGGATGGAAATGTGTAGCACCGGGATAGCCACAGAACAGACCATTGAATCCTGATGCAGAGAGCCAACTGTTTGCTATCTCTGCTACAGTACTAAGCTACAGCTGGAAATAGAGATGTTCGTAAGACTAAGAATAATAATATAGGCAGTGTCACCGGTCTCGAGATTGAACCCATTTTGAAAATATGCTCTTTCGTCACTATAGCGGTATAATTATGTTGGCAGTAGGTATAGGTACGGTTGTTTCGGGCTGGCTTTTCTCAAAGATAGACAGCAGCAGCTCATTTGGCAAACGAATTGATTCTATTCCAAGGATAAATACTCTAGTCATTGAGAATTGATGAGATTATGTTTATAGATACAGTACGCCCCGAAAGTGATGTCATCACCTAACTCTTCGATTGTATCTTGAACCCTAATGCCGAGATATCCTGGTCCACATTGGGAATTCTTCTTGATTTACTCTTTGAGTGGGACCTGCATTGTTCCGTGCACCAAGAACACTAGAATATGGCAGAGTGTATTCACCTATAATATTAATACAACTGACACCTCGTTACCAAACTCTGAAGGCGATAGCACATGGCACAGGCGGCTGGCTGGCTGCAAAGTTCGTACAATCCTGGGGATCTTTGGCAGCCTCAATGCGCAGCCTGATAAAGATCGTAGGCAACTAAGCATTTGTCCAATCATGCTGGAAGCTCTAGGATTGTCACTTGTTTGATATGTTTGCATGAATCCCTTACGGGAAGAAACACTACAAACTCTACAGAAATGAAGATTTGAGCCTGGTCAGATATGTGCAAAGTGGGAAGAGATTATAGTCCCATGAAGACGTGCCCAGCATGATCCGTGACCAGATATATAGGGCCGAGAGGCGGCGGATTGAAAGGCAAAAGGGTCATAATCGTCTTGCATCGGAGTCAAACTACCCACCAATTACCATTACAAACGTCCTTCCCGCACAGACCACGCAGCAGGCTATCCCATCATCGCCACCCTCCTCGGAAGGAATGTCCACCTCTTCAGCCAGTGCCTCGCGACTAAATATAGCAGGCTTTCGTGATGCCAACGTTCAAGCATACTGTGATTGGCAACAATCACAAGTTGGGCGTGCATCATGGAAGGTCGAGTTTCAAAAAGCGTGTGATGTGGCTCTTGATGACGGTTTAGACCTGGACCAGATTGATGAACTGAGGGACCCTGAATACTTCAAGAATCGGGGTGTGAAATGGGGTATTGCCCGCCGATTCGTCAGGGATATTCGGTATTGGGCTGAGAAGCGTAATTGTAATGTGGATGGGTGAAAAGACATTTGATGCTAGAATAGCTAGTTTCCTTTGTGTACAGTCGTTCTCGAAATCGCCTTCACCAACAAACATACGACACTTGTTGCTCTGCCCCACTACATTAGCGCAAGTAATTTATTGAGCCACCGGCACTCATATGAGGGATGAGGGCCTTTGCATGGTTCCTACCGTACGAAGCCTGGAGAATACGATCCTCTTGACCAAGCGCTCACGCCAAATATACTTCTTACTATCCTTAGGATATTTATCGCCCATCAATTTTATGTACTACGTATTGTCAAGTTTATACATCTGAAATTCTTAGGTCTTAGAGCATGACACGATTGTTCACACGGCTAAGGAATGTAGGCCTGATTTTTGACAAAAATTCAATCTGCGCAAATTCTCAAACAATCAGTCCTACCCACTCCCTCTACTTCTTCCACCTCGTCATTAAACTCGGAGGGATTGTACGACTTATAGGGACCCGAGGCATGGCGGCTCAGGAATACTTGGGAACGGTAGTAGACAAGCGCGACACTGACCTGGATGCGGCGGTCGCGGGGCATTGTTGGGCTGTTGTGGGTGTTGGTAAATAAGATGGGGGCTGGAGGTTTGATAGCCAGGTCTGGAGCTTTCATTGCAGAGAGGTCGACGAAGGCTACGGCATTTTCAACAGTGTGTATTTAGTAGCCTTTGCATTCGCATGACAGCATGGGGAAAATAGTGTACACCGAGGAAAAACCCACACCAAGGCATTTCATGCCTGTGAGAAACTGAAAATATAACAGCATGTTAAACCAGAGCCATCACCAATAGATAACAGGCCCTCAGGTCTTGAAGTAGATGTCCATACTATCCACGACTTCTCCAGAGCCGTGAATACTATCTCTGCCTTCCGCTCCAATCAAGTCACCAGTCCCAAGGTGGTTAAGATGGTTAACTTTGCCCTCCTTTCCACCAATCGAATAGTGGCGGCCTTTGTTTGTATCGAATTTGAAGCCGTTGACATAGCCTTCACCATCTCCAGCATAGGCAATCATGCTGTTTATCTTTTCACCATCCTTAAACTCAAATCCTTTGTAAATGTTGTCGTTCTTGTGACCGATGAGGTGGCCCTGATGGTTGTCATCCCAGGTGAACTGAAATCCGTTCAGAACATCGTATCCCATATAGCTCCGTCCCCAGGCATCAATCTTCTTGATTTTATGTTCTCCATGCACTTCATCGTAGTAGCCGCCGCCCATTCCACCATATGGGCCGTTCATATCTCTGCCTCGTGTAGCGGGCATGATGTATTGTGCTGGTTCTGTGTAGTACAAGGGATATGCTGAAAGGCCGCCTTAAGGTATTATATTGTCTCGAAAATGAACAACAAGAAGTCGTAGATGCTGAGATACATAGAAATGGTTGCTCCATTAAATACATAGATCCATGTGGAGAATATATGACAGCTCTATCCCATAGGAAGCCTCGGAAGTGGAGTGTATCACTGAATAACGTATCAGCATGTCCCATCTCTCACTATTACACTGACGTCTTCGCACTACACTGTCTGACAGAAGTATACAGTGCGTCAGAACTTAATCATTGTACTTCTGGTGATATCACAGACTCAGTTCTAGACCAGCCCAGCCCATGACATAGAGACAAAGCTAGAAAGTAAGAACCCGTTATAAGTTCTAATCTCCGAGAGCAGCTATATCTGAACGAATATTATTGCGCAGGTGACGTCTTGATTAGCTGTCGCGTTACACAAGCCCGGGACCCAGAGATGTAGGATATCCGGGACACATTTAATAGTTATTCTATTCACGTACCACCAACATCAAGAAACATGATAATAGGTCGATGCTACTTTTATTATTCGGGTTTGGCACAAAGCTGATCATTTTGTGGGACTCAAGATATCTCTGAGATCAAACACAAAACCATTGCGCCAACTGGCCTCGCCACCAAATCCCAGGGTGTGAGCATGGGCACCACATGAGCCACATTTAACCTAGTTTCTGCCAATTGTTTCAATCTGTTACAGATTCGCCCAGGTTTTGATATCAGACCGGGGAGCCTCAGGCCCCCAGATCTAGGGAAAGCTTCCTTAGCGGAACCAGTAGGTTCCGTCACCGTTTTCAGATAGACTCTATCATGACTACTTAGTCACCTCCGCGGGCATCCGCAACTGTATTTAGGACCGTGGGAGATCCCCCCTCTTAAGGGATCCCCAAGGTTTAGTCTTGGTTTACAGAAACGATTCGTCCTCTTTTCTTTAAATCCTGCGTGGCACTGATACCCTTGCCTGGTTGACAGGCTAATATACCCTGACGAAGTAGATCCTTCAGAAATCAATACGGGAGCTCAATAATGCATGCGGGTCATTGTAGAAGCAAAAGGATGTGGTACAGGAATATTTTATATTACCTGGACAGGAGTTTAAATCTCGGTAATATTTTCCATTCGTCGCCACTTGGTGTAATGGACTATTCTTGGCTTGGTTTGAATCCGCATGATAGAAGGTGGTTCAGAAATCCTACTTGACTTTAATAAAAGTATTCCTTTGTTACTGTAAAGCTATCGTCAAGAACAATTGCTATATTGCATTTTTGGCACGAGAGCAAATCATATAACTAGGTAGGGATCCGAAAGGAATATGATTGTTCATGAATATTCATGAATATTTGCTAATATGTGTTGAAATAATTGATTGACTTGTTGTGTTCTATTTTACAGGGGCGGGGTGCCTCATATATATCTGTTCCCAATCCCTGCCATAAGGTTCAGCCACCATGATACCCAACACAGCCACCGTGATACTCAACACTCCCACTCGATGGCAACCACCATCGAGGGTGTCAGCGACCATTCATCACGGGTGTGAAGGGCCCCGTTAAAACCTTCAAAAAACCTTTAAAGGAAAAGAAGGAAAGGGTACCCGTGTGGCTTAGTTTCTGCCCAAGATCCGTCAGTTGGGAGGTATCACTCAATGCCAAGCCCTCTGCGAAAGCATTCAAATCGTTCTCGCGCAAGAGGCTTCGTGAACCCATCGGCAATTTGCTCAGTAGTTGAAATGTATTTCAGCTCCACTGTTTCAAGGTTTTGGACCTCTCCTTGCCACTTGCGTTGGATTTCCATATGCTTCGTGCGGGAATGGTATTGCGGGTTCGAGGACAGGGCGATGGCTCCTTGGTTGTCACCACAAATAATCGTTGCGGCTTTTCCTTGGCTCATGTTCAACTCATTGAGAAGCCTTCTCAACCAGATTGCTTCTTTGGTTGCTTGTGTCTGGCCTAGAAATTCAGCTTCACAGGTCGAGAGGGCAACAACGCTTTGGCGCTTTGATTGCCAACTGATTGCTCCACTTCCGATATTGAAGAGGTATCCAGCTGTTGAGCGTCTAGTGTCGCGACATCCACCCCAGTCTGCGTCTGTAAAGCCTTTCAGCATCTGGGGATGGCCCTTGTACGCGAGTCTGAGGCCTTTTGTGCCGTTAAGATATCGCAGGATGCGTCGTGCCAGTTTCATGTGTTGGGGTCCAGGATTTGCTAGATACCTGCTCGCCATAGAGACGGCATACGCGACGTCCCCCCTGGTTCCAAGCATAATGTACATCAGAGATCCGACAATGTGTTGGTAGATGATCCTTTGATCTGGGGGACAGCTGTATCCTGGACTATTCTCTGGAAGTGGTGAAGTTTCTATCGGTGTGCTGACGGGAGCGCCGTTGCTGATTCCGAACTGGTGAGCGACCTTGTCAATATACGCTTCTTGACTTAGGTACAGTATCCTGTTTTGACGGTCTCGCTGGACGGACATCCCGAGATAGTAGCTGCACGGTCCGAGATCTGTCATTTGAAAACGGTTTCTGAGGCTCCGCTTGATCTTCTTTATCTCCGCAATGCTAGGCCCCACGATCAGGAGGTCATCGACGTACACCGCGATGTACATATTGCTCCGGACGAAAATCCCAAGATCAGCGCTGATTGGCTCGAAGCCGAGATTCCGTAGGAAATTTGTAAGAGTCTGGTACCAGATCCGAGGAGCTTGTTTTAGGCCATAGAGTGCCTTTCGAAGTTTGCAGACCCTAGATGTGCCGTCGGTCATGTGGTGAGGCTGTTCGACGTAGATCTCGTAGTCTATGTACCCGTATAGGAATGCCGTTTTGACATCCATTTGCTCGATCTCTAGATCTAGGGCCGCCGCGATTGCGAATAGAGCTTTGTAGCTCATTGGTTTGACAACTGAGGCAAATGTTTCGTCATAGTCGATACCCTCTTCTTGTGTAAAGCCTCTCACTACCCATCGACTTTTGTGACGGATGACTTCGCCATGCGGTCCCCGTTTGAGTTTGAAGACCCATTTTCCACTGGGGATCCGACGATCTTTGGGAGGATCAACGAGCTCCCATGTTTTGTTTTGGTTGAGCGAGTTCGCTTCATCAAGCATTGCTCTTTCCCATTCGAGCCAGCTTGCATCGTTCTTCGCTTGATGCAGAGTCTTTGGTTCAAAAGGTTCTGTTTCCTTTGCAGCCACTGTTAAGAACGTTGGGATGACGTTCTCTTCAGGTATATTCATTAACGCAAGCTCTTCCTCGATGTCACTAGAAGTCTCTAGTGTGACCTGCGGAGCGCGAATTTTAAGTTCAGGGTGGTGTTCTAGTGCTTCTTGTCGCACTTCGTGAACTGGGCGGTCAATTTGGAGTTCTGGATATCGTTGCCATTCTCCTGGAACTAGACCTTGTTGAGCGTCGTCTTGTTGCTGGTCGCCGCCGGGTGGTGAGTCATTCCCTTGAACAACGTCTTGGAAATCATCCAGAAATGGTCCAAAGGTATCGTCACTCCGTGTAGGCGACAAGGTCCTGTCTCCCTGTACAGCAACAGATGGCTGCGAGTCATCGTCACTCGGTTGAGACGACGCTGGTGTCTGCGAGTCCTCGTCACTCGACTGGGTTAGCACTCGTGAGTTATCGTTACTCGACCGAGGCAGTATGTGCGAGATATCGTTCCTCGACTTAGGTAGGGCTCGCTCTGGTGGTGCCATCGACAATTGGCGCCCCGAGGCGGGCACGGATGCTTGCCGTATGCCTACCGACGGTTGATTTATTAGTCCCGCCGTCTTACTCCCCCCTGCGGCAGCAGCCGTTGCCTCAGGTGAGCCGTCTCGTCTGGCTCCCACATCTTCTATAGTCTGTGTGGAAGGAGCTGTAAGGACTTCATGAAATCCAGCGTTTGGGGACCCAACAATTCGTCCGTCTTCCAGTAAGATACGGTAGTTGGTATTTCCCTCATAGCCTAGTAGGATGCATGGCCTTGTTCTTGGCTCCGTGAGTTTCTTCCTCTGCTTTGGTGGGATCAAGTATTCCCCTCTGGATCCGATCACTCTGAGTCGTGATAGGTCAGGTTTGTCGCCGTACCAAGCTTGATACGGAGTCATGTTGAGCTTTGATGACGGCGACCGGTTGGAGAGGAAGGCTGCGGTTCGAGCAATTTCTGGCCAGAATTTAGGTGGTAGTCTCGCATGTGCTAGCGTGGGTCCAACCCGATCATAAATTGTCTTATGGGCTCTCTCGGCAACCCCATTCTGCTGGTGTTGATCAACCCCCGTGACCTCGGCATGGATTGCCCGTGAGAACAGTATGAACTTCATCTCTTCTCCCACTTGCTCAGGGATCCGGTCGAGGCGTATTCGTCTACATTTTCGTTCAGGGCGTTCGTTATGATCGAGGAAGGAACGTAGTGACTCTATGACAAATTCTTGTCGTCGTGGTATAGTGACAATCTCTATCCACCCCGTGAAGTCGTCGACGACGGTGAGCCAATAGCGACTGCCGTCAAGGCCCTCGTCAAATGGCCCTGCGACATCAATATGGAGAAGTTCCATTGCATGTTCCCCTCGTCTGCTTCGTCCCGAGCGTTTGTGGGGCTTTTCAATCATTCGTCCCTGGAGGCATGGGTTGCAAGGTTGACGTGGTTCCATGTCCCGGATGCCGAAGGCCTGCTTCTTAAGCCGATGTAGGTTCGCATCGCTCAGGTGAGCCAGCCGATTATGCCAAAGAGCCATTTGTGAACCGACATGGTAGGAGGGAAAGCTGAGATTCGTCCATAGATCAAGTGCGTAGACTCCATGATATTGGCTGGCAGTGTATAGGTTCTTTCCGTTTGACTTGTTGCGAATACTAGCACTTTGGCTTGAGAATTCGACTTTTGCTCCTCGTTTGAGAAGCTGGAGCACCGTTATGAGGTTTGCATGTGCAGATGGGACGTAGAGGACATTGTCAAGCACAAGCCATTTCCTTCTGCCTCGTACATTGCACAGAACATTGACTGTCCCCACTCCCGAGGGAGTCGTGGAGGTATCGATTGCCCCTTCCTATGTTCTTCCTCAATTGCCTTGTTCTCAATATAGTCGAACGTGGGCGCCGCTTTCGTGATGTTACCATTGGCATCTCTTTCATTAACAAGGTCCATTTGCCGAAATATATGATCACGGAAGCTTTCATACTCAGGACCTAATGCGTGTACGAAAAAGAATGTTCGCTCAATCTCGGAGGTCACGCAGTCAGGGTCAAGGAGAAGTTTCTCAGCATGGATCTTCCTGATCTCGGCTCCGAGGGCTTGAGCGCTTCCACATTTCTCTCTTGCGAGGGACATGTACCGTCGCTGGAGGTTAACGTATGTGCCAGTGCCCTCTGGTTTGAAATTGTCTTTAACTGCCTTTAAGAGTGCGTGGACTCGAGAGATCTCAAAGGCGCTGATCCTTTGTGCCGCATTGTGTGTCAGCTTTGCCGTGATCATCGCAGAGTAGAACTTTTGGCGATGAGTCCATTGCCGTCCTTCTTCTTCCTCTATCGGTGGAGTCGTTCCATCGTCGGCAACGGCAGATATCCGAATGAACTCATTGACCTTCTGATTCCACTTAAACCAGTCACTGGCATTATCAAGTATTGGAATGCCATTGTAGAATGCATTTAGTCCAAACTGCTCAAATTTCGCAATGTCAGTCATGGTGTAGGTGGACTCTCCTCTGAACTGAGAACTTCTGGACTTGGTCTGTCGTTGGGCAGACTGGAAGTAACGGAGGAATCGTGGTCTGAGGGGCTGAGGGAACGCGCTTCTAAACCGAAAAGTTCCAGGCTTGATGCGGCACTAGGCAGACTTGAGACGACGGAAGGACTTCGGTCAGATGGATCTGGCGAAGGTGATTGGGATGGAGGAAGGTAGTCTGTGTCTGGTGCCCCGTCCAAATCCAAGTGTTTTCTATAGGACTTGAAGAAGTGGGGAAAGCGAAGCCGGTCGACAGGGTGTCGTGACAGACTCTCGAGGAAGCTTTGACACCTTTTTGGCCGAAAATTGTATCGGCTTATGACAGAAATCTGGCTGTATTACAACGTATGGACAAAATCAGATATATTGGAATCTCTAACTAACTAAAATGACAAAACCCGCGCTTTCAACAATCTGGGCGGACATAGATGACTAACTGTAATATGCACTTTTGTATGGTATGGCTGGTACCATGTGTCACATGATATTCAGGGTAAAATATGTCAGGATGAGGAATTGGTGTACTGGCTAGTACTGAACATGTCCAATAGAATCAGATGATTGATTGTAGGTCTCAAGATCGGCTGAACGATCTCAGGGGTCTATACAAATAAGCTTCGGCGTGTTACAACACCGTACTTCCGAATGTGCCCGGAATACCGTACAAATACTAGGGGGAATTGGGCGAACGATGAATAAGCCTGTCCCAAAGGGTCCTAGTGGTATTTGACCACTCCCTCAGTTCGTCAAAATACCCTGTTTCCACCATGTATTCAATCTTAGTATTCGACATCTTATAATACAGTAGTAAGACACCGCTAGGTGTATCTTACACGCAATTGGCTGTACAATGCAATCCCTATTTCTGTCTGTTACGTCGTAAGCCCCTCAATCGCCGGAGGGAGGTTGCCACTGCAGCCACGCACATGCCTGAGATGTCAGTATCTAAGAGCAGGCGAAACCACTTGGTTGCTAGGCTTCTTACTTCGAAGTTTCATCTGATCCGTGATATGATCAAAAGCCAGTCCTTTACCACGTCTCAGATGGCCGAAAGAAGCTGAATGTACCAAACCCCCTTTCCTGTACATCTGACGTGTCTCGCAAGCCTTGCAGAACAACTCATACTTGCATTTCCCCTCCCTTCTCTCGGGCTAATATAAAAGGGTGTTAGGAAATTTTGTCTTCGATTTCTCATAATCTCTACTCATTCAGTTTCGTTTCAACAATATTGCCTAACGTTACTGTTAACATGGCACCAAAAAAGAAAACCAAGAGTTCCAAGATGCGAATGGGATCCAAAATTACGACACCGGTCCTGAGATCTTCGAAGATTGATTATAATCAACCATTTTCTTCGTAAGCCCTTTGAACTCTTTGGTGTTGCATTCATTCTGATCTTTGAAATGACCCTACGAGTCGCCGTTCATTACCCTTGTGATTGGGAACAAGCGGTATAAGCTTCCGGAGGAATATCTTTGCAAATGCCCACAGCTTCAACAACAATCGTTCTTGACTTCAGAAATTGCATTGCCGGATGTCTACGAAGATGCCGGCCATACTTTGGTGCATTTCTTCTATTCAGGGAACTACGAGACGATACTCTCGCCACCCGATATTGACACGTGCGGCATCGCAGGAGAGTACAGAAGAAGCATCCTGGTTTACCATGCATCCAGAAAGTGTGAGATTCCGGGTCTCGAATGCCTTGCTAAACATTACGTTGAGCACTTCGGTAAAGAACTGTCTCTGCGTGACGTACTTCGCCTAACAAGGGATGTGTTTTCGACCCTTCCTGAAGGCGAGACTTGGCTCCCGAATTACATCAAAAGTCATTTGCTGCGGCTGAAGCTTGGAAATCCAAACAACAACCTGGCAGAGCTTTATAGTACTCTTGGTCATGATCATCAGTTTGATAACACTGTGATGAAAATGGTGGTTGATATGCTAGCGGTAAACCTTTCGGATGATGCATTGACAGACGGTGAGAGCCCCGCAACGCTGTTCTCAAAGAATATTGATCAACGAACTCTGAAAAGTACTATGGGCTAATGGGAGATGTGTCGCTGAAGAGCCTGCCCCCGAAGAGCCTGCCCCTGAAGAACCTGTCGAGGAATGGCCTGTCGCCGAAGCGCCTGTCGAGGAATGGCCTGTCGCCGAAGCGCCTGTCGCCGAAGAGCCTGCCCCTGAAGAACCTGTCGAGGAATGGCCTGTCGCCGAAGCGCCTGTCGAGGAATGGCCTGTCGCCGAAGAGCCTGCCCCCGAAGAGCCTGCCCTCGAAGAGCCTGCCCTCGAAGAGCCTGCCCCTGAAGAACCTGTCGAGGAATGGATTATTCCCGACGCATCTTCCGTGGAAGGTTGGCCTAATGCCCATTTACATCCACATGGGGCTCCTGCTACCGAAAATCTATCCAGTGCTTCGGAAGCTTTCATTGAAGCTCAGCCTGAACAGAATTCTTTGACTAGGATTTCGGTTGCGGACTTAGCTTTGTATGCCGATTGGGGAAAATTCTGTGGCCAAACGAGAGCTGAAAAAAGAGACGAGCTTGCGAGAAGGGGTCTTCCAATTCCAAGCTGGGATGGCGTCGTTGAATTTGGTTTTTAGTTACGTTTGCGAACCAGATCTGCAAAAGCGATTCCATATGGCTCTACAATATTACGTTACAATAAAAGTGACTCAAGTATCATTACCAGAACAGTGCTGCCGTAAATAATCCAGGCTACTCTCGAGCACGTTACATCGCCGGATACCTTTATGACTTTCTTCCTCACATACACCTATGAGGACCTGCGTTCTGATGAAGGACATGCCGTTGATTCTGATATTACCCACGCCTTGGTATTCTTCGAGGGATTTTCTTCATGGGAACCAGAACAAATAAACAAGCTTCACGGAGGCTTAGAAAAGTTTGCTGAGCATATCGTTGAAATTTTTCTCCTTCCCTGTTCGTTAATTCCTTACATATACATATTGCTTGATATCCATTGAGTATATGCTAATGCACAATTGCAGTTAGAGCATCATCAGTCAAGACACCACAACCAACGCCCACGTGGTTATCTTCGCTGCAGAGCTCAACACCGACCGGCACGAGGCAGCGTGTATCTGTTTTACGACAGAAATGTCTTATGCGCGACCGCCACCGCTGTGTAGTGTCTCGGAAATTCGATAGAGCAGCAGCCAGAAAGCGTTTCGAGGAGAATGCGGAATCTTGTGCTGATGATGACGGGAACCCATTGAAGGATGAGCCCAGTGATCAATTTCAATACTTGGAGGTTGCCCACATTCTCCCTCATTGTCTGACGACGGTAGCTTCTGGTGAAACCGATTTGGTATGTCCGGTTATTGGGATTGATATTTTGATGGTGCTAAAGTTTTGCCTAGAGCGATCCAAAGAAAAATGCTCTCCGGATCTTGGACATGTTTGATCCCGGAATAACTTATTGATGGACCAAAAATCGACAGTCCCATGAACGCCCTCACTCTAACGCTGAACTACCACCGGCTATTCGGCGAATTCAAGATATATTTCGAACCCACTGGCACACGACACAAGTACAGGATTGACTCGACAGAACGCAGTCCTTTCTTACGTAACCCCTCGTTTCCCGTCACACGATCGCTTACCCTAAGTCCTCATCGCACGGTAGATCCGCCATCCCCCCGGCTTCTTGATGTCCACCGCGCCATCGCACTTATTATGAAACTTAGCGGCGCTGGCGAATATACTGAGCGGGTTCTTCGTGATATGGAGGAGCTAGATGTCAGAGAAGATGGATCGACACATTTGGGATATCTTACAGGCTTACGACTTGGCGGGTGGTTAGATATTCTATCAGTGCATTAGAGATTGGTACGATGACATTGACATATCGAAGAATATATGCATTTTGTATCTCTGAATGTTGCAGAAGCTCATAATACAACATGATTCGCAATAATTCCCATAAACGAATTCGTTCTAGTTAGCCGGTGGGGTTAGTCCCGAACTCTGCTGCCGTAGTAGCGCTGTACCTCTCTCTACAGCTAGGCCAGAGTGCCGAAAATGCCCCTCCGCGCTTTTCTCCCTCGCACCAACAACGTCAACACACCATTCAAGGAAGTTATCGAATCCTTGCGCTGGATTTTCTTCGTAGGATTGCCACTTACGCCGGATAAAGGCCTTCAGCTCAGCAAAATACTCCTCAATAGGATTCAAGTCAGGAGAATATGGAGGCAAATACACTAGCTTTACGCTAGCTTCCGAGTAGATCTGTTTAATTCTGTCCGAGCGATGAAAGGATGCGTTATCCATCACCAGCACAGACTTTGGCTCGGGCCATTTCCCACAGTGCTGGAGAAGCCGCTCGATAAATTCCTCAAAGACGAATGCGTCAGTTGAACCCTTGAACACTCGAGACAAAACAATTCCGTCTTGCGCATACGCAGGTAGAATCTGATAACGCTGATCACGATGAAATTTTGACACTTGAACCGGTGCGGTACCAAGGGGGGACCAACCCGTTCGCCGGAAGCCTATCCTTTTATCACATCCAGATTCATCGACATAGACAAGGTGGTAAGACTTGAAGTCCGAGATAAAATGGTGATATTCGTCCCGAAGGTCAAGGTTGCGTTCTCGTGCCTTGACCCGAGCGGTCTTCTTTGACCAGCCTTTGGACTCAAGGGCGCGACTGATGCTCGATTTCGTTGCTTGGAGAGCGAATTCGTCCCACAAAAAAATCACCATCTCGTCCAGATATAAGGCAGGCTTTTCAATTAGATGGTCGCACAAAGCCTCGAGCATAACTGGAGTGATACTACGGGGTCGTCCGCCTTTAATTGGCGGTGCTTTGACGCTGCCAAACATTCTTATATTGGAAGAGATTCTCGAGATGGTGCTCTTGTTGCAACCAGCGGCCTGTGCCATCTTAGTTATAGATAGTTCGCCACTGTGGATCATGTCATAGATAAGCTCATGCTTGGAAGGGGCTAGGTTTGGAGCCATCTTGGTTGGACCCCTCGTGATAGATTTTTAAGTGCGCCTCCCGAGGAAAGTTTCTTCGGAGGAGGGGCATGGAGGTGTCAATAGTATTAAAATTACAAGGTAATACATGTTTCAGATTACTATGTAATATACGTACGAAATAATACGCACGTGACTACCGGAAGAACTCCAAATGTAGACTAATGTGTCTTGGCACAAGGGCCAGGAAAATCAATCAAAGAGTGTAGTGGTTTCACCGGTTTCGGGACGTACTGTATGAACGTGTGGAGACCTCGTACAAAGACAGATCGACAGCCAGGGCGGAGCGATGGCGTTCGTGGATGATTTTACCGCATGGGTGACCGGGCCAACCGCCCAGAGCAACCGGGAAGGCATTGAACCAATTATCAATCAAGCGCTCGACTGGGAGAAAAGGAGCGGAGCGACTTTTGAAGCAGACAAAACAGCCATCATACACTTTGCTCCCAAGGCTTACAAATTGGATCAGGGACCTTTCACTATCAAGGGACAAACCGTTGAGCCCAAGGACCGTGTCAAGATCTTGGGCGTCCTCATGGACACGAAGCTCAAGTACAAGGAACATAATGCGAGGGCAGCATCCAAGGGCCTGGAGGCCGCGATGGAGCTTCGACGACTTCGGGGTTTATCCCCAGCGACAGCGCGGCAGCTATTTACATCGACGGTGGCGCCGGTCGTGGACTACGCGTCCAATGTCTGGATGCACGCATGCAAGGATAAGGCCATGGGGCCGATCAACCGCGTCCAAAGGGTAGGAGCGCAGGCGATTGTAGGAACATTCCTCACAGTTGCGACCAGTGTAGCAGAGGCGGAGGCCCACCTTGCCACTGTTCAACACCGTTTCTGGAGACGAGCCGTGAAGATGTGGACGGACATACATACCCTGCCAGAAACCAACCCTCTCCGCAGGAATACAGCACGGATCAAGAAATTCAGAAGATACCATCGTTCGCCGCTGTATCAAGTAGCAGACGCGCTGAAGAACATTGAGATGGAAACACTGGAAACCATCAATCCGTTCACATTGGCACCATGGGAAGTACGCGTACAGGCTGGCGTTGAAGCAACTCCGCAGTCACCGACCGTACCAGGCGGGTTAATGCAGATCGCAGCCAGCAGTTCAGCACGGAACGAGCTGGTCGGATTTGGGGTAGCGATCGAGAGGCAGCCACCTCGGTATCGAAAACTGAAACTGAAGACCCTTTTCGTCACATTGGGTGCAAGAGCAGAGCAAAATCCGTTCTCTGCGGAGCTAGCAGCGATGGCACATGCATTGAACATGGTAGTTGGACATAAAGATTACAGGATTACGCTGCTCACGAGCAACAAAGCGGCGGCTCTGACACTAAGGAATCCTCGACAACAGTCAGGCCAGGAATTCGTCTGCCAAGTGTTCAAGTTGATGAGAAAGCTACGGAGAAATGGAAACCAGATCAATATCCGGTGGATCTCAACGAGCGAAGACAATAAACTGCGGGGTCTGGCTAAAGAACAGGCCAGAGCCGCGACACAAGAAGATGCTCTCCCGCAAGAACGCGTCCCGAGAATGAAGTCAACAACACTGATATCGCACGGTCCCAAGCAGTCCCCAGCAATGACCTGCCAGTGAACGTAGGGAGACACGCAAAACGAGTTGATGCAGCACTCCCAGGCAAACACACCCGGCAGCTGTATGACCGATTATCGTGGAAAGAAGCGAGCGTGCTGGCTCAACTCCGAACCGGCATGGCAAGACTCAATGGATATCTCTATCGAATCAACGTAGCAGACACGGACCAGTGTGCGTGTGGACAAGCGAGAGAGACCGTGGAGCACTTCCTATTTCGATGTCAAAAATGGACGGCGCACGGGACGGAACTACTACAATGTATCAACACCCACCGAGGAAATATATCCTTCTTCCTAGGAGGAAAGTCGCCTTCCGATGATCAGAAGTGGACGCCGAACTTAGAGGCGGTACGGGCCTCAATACGATTCGCCATCGCCACGGGCCGACTCGAGGCCACCTAACCATGCCGACGAACATAAATCACCCCCCTTTCGCCGATCTAACCCACCAACCACCTCGTGTTACAGATGGTAGACGCGCTTCAACTGCCGAAAATAGGATGTTGAACACTTGGAGAAGCGCCTTCAAGCCAGCCTATTAACAAAATTACTAACCCACGAGGATCCGCTGCGATACGGACATCTGAGATGACATATATTGCAAGGCTTTATGTATGGGCTCTGAGGAGACACAGCACTGCATATATTATGACATGTATAGTAGATCAGAGATAGTTGCCCTTTCGGCTCAGCCGCCGGGCGTTAATAAATTGTGTGTGTGTGTATGTGGTAATGGCTGGCGACGACTCTCACCTCCCCGTGGTGCCGGCTGGGAACCTGTGAATGCCTTGCCTGGGAGGTATTTGCAGAGCTAAGAAGAGTCACCACTGGCCAGCACTGTCCGCTGGCTAGGGCTACGGCGGGAGCGAGAGCTCAGGGGTCAGGGGCCCTGACCCCACGCACAGGCGACAAGGGAACACTTTGAAAACCACCCGACACACGACTGCGAAACCGATCCTACAATCAGTGGACACTAGGGTCGTGGGATAGGACACCCTTGGGGTGCTCTCGGGCTGCTCTGTTGAAAGGAGGATGTCGCTGGGTCTGAGGATACACGAACGACAGAGTCAAAAGCAAAACCACGAACGACACGGCACAACCCAGCATGCTTGAATCCACACAGAGAACGACGAGGTACTTTGGTTAGTAGGAGGGGCAACACTGTGTTGCTTGGCTGTTCTGGGTACAGAGAGGATACAACTGGGCAAACTCCTGCGAGACACGGTCCGCCTTGTCAGAGAGATCTTACAAGGTAGCGCGAAATGGATTTGACAATCCGTGGGGCGCAGCATATAATGGAAGCGACGGAAGACTGGGTGTGCGGACTGCAGATACGACACTTTCTATATGGCTCGAGAGGACGGACGCGCGTGTCGGTCTACTGAGAGAATAGGATTTTGAAGATGGCTATCGAGGATGGAGTCTTCAAGGCCGCTATGGAAGTAGGCTTAAGGTGCAAACTGGTATTGACTTGCTGAACTGGCTGTGCCCCGTGAAGGATGCGGATGAGGATCGAAGGGGATGCAAGGTAGAGGGTCTATGTAGGTAGACATGCTGCTACCTCTATAATGTATTATCAAGCGTGCCTAACTTAGTAATACAAATTAATACTTGAACATGGCCGCGAGTGTAGCGAAACAATACCACGACGCAATACGGAAACAAAAGAAGAAGCACTGGAATGAGTTTCTGGCGAACAACGATAACATATGGAAAGCCGCTAAGTACCTGAAGTCAGGAGACGACGCAGCCTTCGGGAAGGTACCGCAGCTCCTCAAAGCAGATGGAACGGTTACCGCCGATCATAAGCAGCAGGCAGAAGAACTCCTGACCAAATTCTTCCCGCCCCTGCCGAAAAACATTGAAGATGAAGGAACAAGACCACAAAGAGCACCGGTAGAGATGCCGCCCATCACCATGGAAGAGGTAGAGCGGCAATTGCTCGCAACGAAGTCTTGGAAGGCACCGGGCGAGGACGGCCTACCGGCAATAGTGTGGAAAATGACATGGCCCGCGGTCAAGCACCGGGTCCTTGATCTCTTCCAAGCGTCGTTGGAAGATGGCACACTGCCAAGACAGTGGAGACACGCAAAGATCATCCCGCTGAGAAAACCAAACAAGGAAGACTACACCACTGCCAAGGCATGGAGACCGATCTCACTCTTCGCGACACTGGGCAAGATCCTGGAATCGGTGGTGGCAGAAAGGATCTCACACGCCGTGGAGACCCACGGCCTGCTTCCGACCAGCCACTTCGGGGCCCGAAAGCAGCGGTCCGCGGAGCAGGCACTCCTGCTCTTGCAAGAGCAAATCTATACGGCGTGGCGCGGTCGACGGGTGTTGAGCTTGGTCAGCTTCGATGTCAAAGGGGCCTACAATGGGGTTTGTAAAGAACGACTACTCCAGAGGATGAAGGCGCGGGGGATACCAGAAACGCTGCTCCGGTGGATCGAGGCGTTCTGCTCGGAACGAACAGCGACCATCCAGATCAATGGGCAGGAGTCTGAGATTCAAACCCTTCCACAGGCTGGGTTGCCTCAGGGCTCACCCCTGTCCCCGATCCTATTTCTCTTCTTCAACGCAGACCTCGTGCAGAGACAGATCGACAGCCAGGGAGGAGCAATTGCTTTCGTGGATGATTTTACCGCATGGGTGACCGGGCCAACCGCTCGAAGCAACCGGGAAGGAATTGAAGCGATAATCACGCACGCACTGAAATGGGAAAGCAGGAGCGGGGCGACTTTTGAGGCGGAGAAAACAGCTATTATACACTTCGCCCCTAAGACCTACAAACTGGAACAGGAGCCCTTTATCATCAAAGGGCAAAGCGTTGAGCCCAAAGAGAAGGTCAAGATCCTGGGGGTTTTGATGGACACGAGACTAAAGTACAAAGAGCATATCGCGAGAGCAGCGTCCAAAGGTCTGGAGGCAGCAATGGAGCTCCGACGACTCCGAGGTCTGTCCCCAGCGACAGCACGGCAGTTGTTCTCATCGACGGTGGCCCCAGTAGTTGATTATGCCTCAAATGTCTGGATGCACGCTTTCAAGAATCAGAACATGGGAACGATCAATCGAGTTCGAGTCCAAAGGGTAGGAGCACAAGCGATCGTGGGGACCTTCCTCACAGTTGCGACCAGCGTGGCTGAGGCCGAGGCCCACATTGCCGCTGCACAGCAGCGATTCTGGAGACGGGCCGTGAAGATGTGGACAGACATACACACGCTACCGGAAACCAATCCTCTTCGCAGAAATACAGACCGGATCAGGAAGTTCAGGAGATACCACCGCTCACCACTATACCAAGTAGCGGACGCGATGAAAAACATCGAGATGGAATCGCTGGAAACCATCAATCCGTTTACGCTGGCACCATGGGAAGCACGCATGCAAACTGATGATGAGGCCATTCTCGAGACATCAGATGTACCCGGCGGGTCAATGCAGGTCGCATTCAGCAGCTCGGCGCGGAATGAGCTGGTTGGATTCGGGGTGACGATCGAAAAGCAACCACCTCGCTACCGGAAAGTGAAATTGAGGGCCTTTTCCATTACGCTGGGCGCAAGAATAGAGCAAAATCCATTCTCCGCGGAGCTAGCAGCAATGGCGCATACACTGAAGTCGTTCGTGGGATTGAAAGACTACAGGATTAAACTGCTCACGAGTAACAAAGCGGCGGCTCTCACGCTGAAGAGCCCTCGACAACAGTCGGGTCAGGAATTTGTCTGCCAAATTTACAAGCTGATGAGATGACTGCAGAGAAATGGAAATCGGATCAGCATCCGGTGGATCCCCACTAGCGAAGATAACAAACTGCTAGGTCTGGCGAAATAACAGGCCAGAGCCGCAACGCAAGAAGATGCCATTCCGCAAGGACAGGTCCCCAGGATGAAATCGACAACTCTGAATATTGCTCGGTCCCAAGCGGTTCCCAGCAGGGAGCTGCCCGAGAACATAGGGAGGCATTCCAAACGAGTGGATGCCGCACTTCCAGGGAAACACACGCGACAGCTGTATGACCGATTATCATGGAAAGAAGCAAGCGTGCTGGCTCAGCTCCGCACGGGCATGGCAAGACTCAATGGATATCTCTTTCGAATCAACGCCGCCGAGACAGATCAATGTGCATGTGGACAGGCAAGAGAGACCGTGGACCATTTCCTGTTTCGATGTCGGAAGTGGACCGCACACCGGACGCAAATGCTGCAATGTACCCACACTCATCGAAGTAACATGTCCTTCTTTCTGGGTGGAAAGTCACCGTCCGATGACCAGGACTGGACGCCCGATTTGGAAGCAGTGCGAGCCTCGATACGGTTTGCCATCGCTACGGGCCGACTTGACGCCACTTGGCCTTGCCGACGAAGTGGTAAAATAGCTCTTCTTACTAACCCCCAACACCTTGTGACAGACGGTAGACGCGCTTCAACTACCGAGGATAGGATGTTGAACACTTGAAGAAGCGTCTTCAAGCTAGTCTACTGAACGATACTAACCCACAGGGACCAGCTGTGAGATTGAAAGCCGAGATGACATAAACTGAAAGGAATCTGGTATGGGCTCCAAGGTGACACAGTATTAGCTAAAGCATGTATATTTAGATCAGTGATAGCTGCCCTTTCGGTTCAGCCGCCGGGCGTTAATGAATTGTGTGTGTGTGTGTATATGAAGCTTCGGAAACGAACCCAGTCGCTCTCCACCGGGAAAGGTATGCATCAAAATAAACCGTGAACACCCCACTGCAGGCCTTCGATACTACTGTTTGGTCTGAACTACAGAACTGAACATCCTCCATGCCTGAAGGCAGAGAGACTATGTTTCCGTAACTCGGATGCTGGAGAATGAGAAGCGGAGATGTACTAGTGACTATGAAAGACCGTGCATTTCCATGACATTCCACATTAGGTCAAACATCACAACAGTATCTACTTAGTGGCTGGACTCCACCGAACACCATCTGCCCCGCAGATTGTTTATTGACCGTCCTTTCATATTGAAGCAAATAGATAATTGAAGGCGTCGCTTCTGACGGTTTTAATAAGACGAGCTGACAAAATGTGCCGTTTTTTTAAGGGGTGTCTATATCTCTTTATGATTAAATGTTGTAATGTTTTGTTTAAAAACAAAGAAATCATAGCGAGGCTAGAAAAAATTACTGGTTCTTCAAAATGGCTCAACGCGATATCCCAGGTCCTCAATACCTAATTTCTTTTCTCGTTCTGCAGGAGCGGTACGTAGTAGCTGGCGAGGTGCGTCCTATTTATTCGTCGTTGGTCCATCCTTGGGTATTAATTTTCAATACCACATCCCCAGCGGCAAGGCAAAACGAATTATCTTCAGACAACTTAAACAAGACTTCACCATCCAGCTGCTGCACATCAACAACCGGACATTTCTCTCTCATGTATTGGAAGTTGTCAACCGTAAGCCTTTTGATACCATAGCCTAAGGATCCTTTTTTAGTCCCAGAAGTTGATTGATTTTCTAATCCGAGATGCACTTCAAGCGATTCTGCGATATAAAGACGGAAAGGTCTGTTAAATCTGACAGAATCATTGATTAGTTCTCCCTTGGCCAAGTAAACGGTCTCGACGAAATTATTCAAAGAGCACGCAGTGCTTGAATCTCGGGTCAGTGCCAATGAAGGGCCGTATCTGGGTGAATCTTGCGACAAGGTACTGGACGAGTCAATCAAATTCATTCGTTCCTCTGAGCTCTCTGACACGAGCTCCAGTAAATTCACAGTTGTTGAAGAGTCCGACAAGGTAAGCAAGTTGCTTTCATTCGGAAACGGATGAACGGGCAGTTTCCCTTGAGCTAGGCCTAGTGAAACATTGTGTCGAAGACTTTCGTCTAGCCTTTCATTAAATCTCTGCTGGAGGGCTCCAAATTCCGGTAGACTCGGGAGTCTCCAGCCGGGATATAGCCGACCATGGGCTCTCGGAGTATGCATTCGTCCGTATAGCTGAATGAATGTGTCGCAAAGAAAGCATGCATCTTTGCTTGAACTAACAACTCGTGGAAATGGCTTTTGAACATGCATTTCGCAAAAGGCAACAATTTGAATTTCGGCATGAATCTTGGACGCTGAGATAGCTTTCTGAGCTTCTTCATACCTGGTACGTGCAGCTTTTTGATCGAGTTTCAAATTTTGGCACAACTGGGGAACATCCTGTTGCCCCTTAGTCAATCCAAGCTTGGATAGACAAGTACATAGGTCCGGAAACTTGCTGGAGTGTATTTGACCTTCAAATGCCTTTTGGGGTAGGTTTGCCAGTTGAATTCTCATGTTTCGGACCAGTGGAAATTTTTTGGCCGTTCGGTACAGTTTCCTAGCGGCTTCCCAGTATCTTGAGACCTTTCTGATGATGTTCAGAAAACTGGATCGTGAGGACGGATCCATGTCATTGTTCGAGATTATGTTCAACAACTCATGAAAACGTGGTGCTGTTTGTTGCAAGTGATGTATTCCTTCCACAAGATCACCCAGCTCATCCAGAGTCTGGTGCTTCAACCATCGAACAACCAGCTGTATGACTTTGTTTGCCTCTGATATGAATAATGTCGATGTGAACGATAAATCCTCGCTGTGAAGCTTCTGAGTCTTGATCCGTCGAATACTGAATATGGCCTCTTTCAATAGATCTTGAATAGGCCTCTTAGATGCCTTCCGCTCGAGTCGCAACCGACATAGTACCCGTGATGAGCACATTGAGATGACTGACATCAAAAGTTTTCTATGGAGCTCGGACTTATCTATAATTTTTGGAGAATGGTTAGAGCTCATCATGATATGGAAATGAGGAAGGACCAACCATATTCTGAGTCATGAAGTATTCTGAATACTTGTTCAAAGCTTGTTTTCAATCTTTGTAGAATGTGATCCCCATCGGCATAGGTTCTTTTGTTGATAGCTAGGATGACATTTAAGGTTGTCCCAGATGAGTCCTGTTTAACGCAGACAGCCGGTATATGATCCCACCCATCCTTGGTTTTTGCCAGGAAGGCAAGAACTTCGGTTAGCCCACGCTCTTTAGAAAATGGCAAAACGTATTCTTGGTTGATTGACAATCGATCATACGCATTCCGAACGACTGGAGCAGGGACCTGGTGAAAAAAGGAGCTGAGAGCGATATACTCGGCACACGCTGTTGTGGGGCTTTGGGTTGTTTGAGCCATGGAATTCGACGTTTGGAGAAAGGTGCCAAGGCGAGAGCGGAGTGCTCTAGAGAGGGGGAGAAATCCTGTACTTATGAGCCGACGGGGCATCTGCACGTTTCTGAGTACCCGATGTGAGCTGGCATTTACATAGTGAGCTCTACGCGCGATAAGATAATACATGGTACGAGCCAATGACATTCTCCTACCCGAGTTTGTACGGTTCGGAGCACAGGCACGATATTCGAGTTGGTGCAAAGGAGCGCCTTTTGTATAAATGGGTGTAAACGGAGGCTGCGTGCACGGTAAAAGAAGAGAAAGAGGACAAATACCAGATCGCAGGGTCTGACTCTACTGTTCGCAATGAACATGACATGATGGGCTGTTCTTTCAACGAACTCAACCAAAGTTTTCCTAATGTATTTTAACGCTGGCTTGTTCAACTCGGTTCATGCAGGACAATACAATTTGACAGTCAAGGGGCTAACCTAATTTATACTTGTTCCAGTATTGGTAGGGCCAGAGAAATACTTTTTGAGTACACACGGGAGAATCTGGTTTGGAACATGATATAATCTAGTAACGACCGTATCTATTTCATGAAAGTTACAAGCCCACCACCGTTTATGTAAGGAGCTTGACAGGTCCTTCCCATTAATGGAGATCGGAGTGCATTAGCCAATAATACTACATGTTCAGGTGGAACGGTACCAGTACCAACATCACCATACTAATAGGACTGTCAGCCAAGTCACAGTACCTTCCCAGCCCAAAACTGCAGCCTACATACATCCATGGATACATGTAAGGTGCCAAGGCTCCAGGAGTCTCGTCTCTACTCGGCTTCTACCTTGGCTGATTTATGAAACTCGCCGCAATGCAGCTCCCCCCTCTTCTAATTATTTTTGGGGCACACAGCGCCTTCATTGGCTACTTCGATACTGACTAAGCTAACATATCCATATCTGTCGAAGCTATCATCGCAATCTTTGCTCTAATTGTTGCCTTGATACCATTGTTTTGCTCCATTTGGAAATACATAAAGAGATATTCGAGTCCGCAAACAGGTAATGACCCCATAACGCGTTACTTGAGAAATTGCCTGACGTTGTTCGCATTACAAAGCTACCCCAATCACGGCCCTACCTTTGTATACTACCGGAAATCACCCACACGCGACGCCACTGGCTAATCAAGTATGGAGGCCCCACTATGATCGACATGGTATGTATAGCTTTTACATGAGAATTTTTAGCAGTTTGACTAACTCGCCATGCTTTTTCTATAGTCGATATACAAATGCCAGGGGAATTCTACTTCGAGCGGACAATTGTTGTAGGAAACTTTGCTCGATGAACGCCTGGGAATAAGCGACCAGGAAACTTCATACGATGCATTTGAGGGTGATTTTGGGGTAAAAAATGTTGTGCTATATGATGTGATCTCTATAAAATTCATGTCCGTTGACCACTTAGTACATTATGAAGCTATCTACTGAGTAGTCGTATTGTCCTACTTACTCGGGCAGGGTGTAGATTACCGTGAACTGGTTCAAGTGGAGAAGTCGGCCCGATCCGGCTCTTTTTGTCACTTCCTATTGGTTGCTGCTATACATCTCCCCTCATAACAGGAGTACAACTTGGGAAGCTTAGATCTCTCGCTTCTTCTCGCTTTGATAGAGTAAAGCCTTGGAAGACATATATAATTGTTCATATACTCTGCTTGTACGCATAGTATTATTCGCGGCCACTGGTAAATCTGTTGTGATATGAGGCTGTTGCAGATCAAGAAGCTTCCAGTTCTTTCTGCGTGGAAGAAATACATGATGCAAGTAGATGCCTTCACTGTGTATATATATATAGCCTCGTGTCTCCCTCTGAGAAAATAATCAATTAATACCTCTGAACTACAACAGGTTATGAGCCCGGAAGCAATCTCTCGGGTGCCGTCTTTACTCATCTGAGAATCATCTTAACTATCTTGTTAATATACCTACCCCGCTTTCACAGCCATCACAATGTCTGCTCTGGTCCATGACTCTCCTGACCGAGCTGTCACAGCCATAGAGCCTCTGACAGGAAGCGACAACTACGCGACTTGGAAACGTCTCATGACCTCTTACCTCAAAGCGAGGCAAGTCTGGGACGTGGTGTCGGGCGACCTCCAACGCCCCGACTGCCTGTTCAAGTACGCCAAGCCTATTACGGCAGACATCCACCCCTTGGTGGAACCACACCTCGCTGGGGCGATGAGACAGCGCGCCATTGAGGCGCGTCTCGAAGTGGAGGTCCAGGCGTTCGAGCGCCACCGTGAATGGTCGCGCCGCGAAGCTGAGGCCTACCACACCATTTTCCGGTATCTGTCCCCCCACATCAGCATTCATGTCGCGGGACTCGAGACATCCCGGGACCTCTGGAATGAACTCGAAGAACGGTACCGGCGGATGGAACTCGCCACATTTTGCGAGCTGTTCGCCCAGCTTCGCGAAACCACTGGCGAGCGCTGCGGCAGCGCGCGCGAATTTGTTGATCGAGTACGATTGCTCGTACATCGATTGAATGCTATCGTGCCGGGATCCATTGGCGATCGAACGCACATTGCGATCTTATTGACGCAGATCGGACCGGAATACATTCTAGTTGTGGATGCGATCCAGAATGACAAGGATCCGGTGAATCCGACCACGATCGGAAATCGCCTGTCTAATGCTGAGCAGACGGTTCGGAGAAAAGAAGCTCCAACACCCTTGCAGGCAGCATCTGGCCCGTCCGTCAATACGGTGCAGCAGACTGCCAAGAAATGCAACTATTGCAAGAAGCGCGGCCATGTGGTCGCGCAGTGCTGGAAGAAACAGCGAGAAGGACAGTCGTCTAGGGACCATGCCCTGAAGACTGAACGGAGTGTTTCCGGCTCACCAAGAAATGATTTACAAAATATACCATCAAGCCAGAGAGAAGATCGACGGGGCCCGCCGGCTTCCAAGAGACCGAGGATCAATATCGTGAGGGCGAGGGTGACGACCCTTTATACCCACGCACCGCAACCCCGGTGGATCCTGGACACGGCGGGCGATCCAGTGGAAGCCGAAGGGATTGGTACGGTGAAGCTCACGCTCCGGGGGAAGTTCAACCAACCCCTGGTGTTAAAGAATGTATACTTCGCGCCACGCGTCGGGATGAACCTGATCAGCGTGCCGAAGCTGTTACGAGACCGCTACTCGGTGGTGGCGCACCCACAGAATGTCTTTGTGCAACGCCGAGGACGGACCGTGGGGACCGCCTACCATGCGGAGGAGGATCTGCTGATTCTGCGGTGCCATGTGAGCGGAAGATCTCGAGAGCGAGTCCAACTGGCGAGAGCGCCGGCGACCCATGGCCATGCAGATTCCCTGGAACCGCAGGCGGTGGCCATGGACGTCGACGACCCTCAGGAGTCAAGTGACGCAGAATGCGCAACGTCAACCTCTGAACTCGGTGGTGAAGCTGCGATACTCGATGGAGATGCGTGCAAAGGAGTGGACCAGGCCTCCGAAGCGTTGTGGCACGCTCGGATGGGACATCTGAACCGGGGCGACTTAAGGGCGGTCCTCCGGCAGACCGGCACTCCGTACCGACCGCTGACGCAGGCGCAGCTGCTGGCAACGCCGCAGTGCCCAGCGTGTATGTCGGGTAAGCAGCATCAGAAGAGGAACTCCCGCGCAAGACGGCCACGTCTGCATTCAACGAGAATTTTCGAATTGATCCACTCGGACATCATGGAGATGCCGATTGCCAAAGATAACTCCAGGTACGTGATCACCTTTAATGACGATTATTCTCGTGGCTCGTGGGCATATGCCATGAGATGGAAGCATGAAGCACTCCAGAAGTTCCGACATTTTGAGGCCTGGGTGCACCGACAGTTCGGCGCCCAGATCAAGAGATTCCTCACCGACAACGGGAGAGAATACCTGCCGATCGGAACACACCTCGAAATCCAGGGAGTTGAGTTTGACACCTCGCCGCCATACTGCAAGGGACAGAATGGACTGGCGGAACGCACGAATCGTACTATCCGGGAGCGGATTAACACGCTCCTGTCTGATGCGAACCTTTCTCCTTCCTGGCGGACCGAGCTTGTGGACATGGTGGTCTATCTGAAGCTGCGCGCTCTAGCATCGATTTTACAGTAGAAGACACCGTTTGAAATACTATACGGAAAGCCGCCCTCGCTGTCGCATCTGCGACGCATTGGCTCCCGTGCCTGGGTATTGATCCCGAAAGAGCATCGAGCGAAACTCGGACCCCGGTCATCCGAATGCCGATTGCTAGGGTACTGTGAACCGAACCAGTACAAGCTGTATGAAAACCATTCAGGGAAGACAGTCTTTTCCCGTGATGTCGAGTTCGATGAGAGGACCCCAGTGGCGCCACTCATCGAGGGGGAAACAGGCAACGACCTCCCGGACAACGCTACTCCATCACCTGTCTTTCCATCAATGCCGAGGTCAGCCAGCGGGCTGCCAACACCTCCTGTATCGCCATTACCTCCGTCGAATGAGGGAGAGGAAATGCCATCTGAGCGTGAAGATGAGACACCTCCAGTGGTCAATCCAAGTCAACAAGGAACCAACTTGACATCGGATCTTGGATATTCGATCTATGGTCGCAGACGAAGACCGTCACGGCGTCTCCTGGAATCACTAGGCAAGGTGTACTCGGCAGGCACACTGAATACCGCACCGGCCAGACAAGTCGACCCGGCGACCTTTCACGAAGCTGTGTCAGGCACAGACCAGCTGGAATGGTGGGCCGCCATCCAGAAAGAATATGCGTCGCTTCTCGAACACGGAACATGGGAAAAGGTTCGGCGAGAGGACGTCCCAGCCAGAGATCATGTGATTGGCTGCAAATGGGTCTTCAAGACCAAGGCCAACGGAACGCGCAAAGCGCGATTGGTTATCAAAGGCTACCGGCAAAAGCATGGCATTGACTATCACGAAACGTTTGCTGCTGTGTCCAGGATGGACTCCGTCCGCTGCA